TGGGCTTCAAGTTTAAGGTTTTTCCAGGTCTGCTTGCTCTGCGAAATGGTTCTATGGCCCGAATCTGGGTTTCAAGTTTAAGGTTTTCCCAGGTCTGCTTTCTCTGCGCAAAGGCTGTATGGCCCGAATCTCGGTTTCAAGTTTAAGGTTTTCCCAGGTCTGCTTGCTCTGCGAAAAGGCTCTATGGCCCGAATCTGCGTTTCAAGTTTACGGTTATCCCAATCTGCTTGCTCTGCGAAAAGGCTCTATGGCCCGAATCTCGGTTTCAAGTTTAAGGTTTTTCCAGGCCTGCTTGCTCTGCGAAAAGGTTCTATGGCCCGTATCTGGGTTTCAAGTTTAAGGTTTTCCCAGGTCTGCTTGCCCTGCGAAAAAGGCTCTATGGCCCGAATCTCGGTTTAGAGTGTACGGTTTTCCCAGCTCTGCTTGATCTGCGCAAAGGTTCTATGGCCCGAGTCTGGGTTTCAAGTTTAACACGCATTTTAGAGTTCACGTTTTCCCAGGTCTGCTTGCTCTGCGAAAAGGCCCTATGGCCCGAATCTGGGTTTCAGGCTTAAGGTTTTCCCAGGTATGCTTGCTTTGTGAAAAGGCTCTATGGCCCGGATCTGGGTTTCAAGTTTAAGCTTTCCCAGGTCTGCTTGCTCTCCGAAAAGGCTCTATGGCCCGAATCTGGGCTTCAAGTTTAAGGTTTTCCCAGGTCTGCTTGCTCTGCGCAAAGGTTCTATCAGTTTTCCCAGGTCTGCGTGCTCTGCGAAAAGGTTCTGGTCTGCTTGCTTTGCGAAAACGCTCTATGGCCCGAATCTGGGCTTCAAGTCTAACACGCTCTCTGGAGTTTAGTTTCAAGTTTAAGGTTTTCCCAGCGGTCTGCTTGCTCTGTGAGAAGGTTCTATGACCCGATTCTGGGTTTCAAGTTTAAGGTTTCCCAGGTCTGCTTGCTCTGCGAAAAGGTTCTATGGCCCGAATCTGGGTTTCAAGTTTAAGGTTTTCCCAGGTCTGCTTGCTCTGTGAGAAGGCTCTATGACCCGAATCTGGGTTTCAAGTTTAAGGTTTTCCCAGGTCTGATTGCCCTGCGAAAAGGCTCTATGGCCCGAATCTGGGTTTCAAGTTTAAGGTTTTCCCAGGTCTGCTTGCTCTGCGAAAAGGCTCTATGGCCCGGATCTGGGTTTCAAGTTTAAGGTTTTCCCAGGTCTGCTTGCTCTGCGAAAAGGCTCTATGGCCCGAATCTGGGTTTCAGGCTTAAGGTTTTCCCAGGTATGCTAGCTTTGTGAAAAGGCTCTATGGCCCGGATCTGGGTTTCAAGTTTAAGCTTTCCCAGGTCTGCTTGCTCTCCGAAAAGGCTCTATGGCCCGAGTCTGGGTTTCAAGTTTAAGGTCTTCCCAGGTCTGCTTGCTCTGCGCAAAGGCTCTATGGCCCGAATCTGGGTTTCAAGTTTAAAGTTTTCCCAGGTCTGCGTGCTCTGTGAGAAGGCGCTATGATCCGAATCTGGGTTTCAAGTTTAAGGTTTTTCCAGGTCTGCTTGTTCTGCGAAAAGGCTCTATGGCCCGAATCTGGGTTTCAAATCCAACACGCTTTCTGGAGTACGGTTTCAAGTTTAAGGTTTTCACGGGTCTGCTTGCTCTGCGAAAAGGCTCTATGACCCGAACCTGGGTTTCAAGCTTAAGGTTTTCCCAGGTCTGCTTGCTCTGCGCAAAGGCTGTATGGCCCGAATCTCGGTTTCATGTTTAAGGTTTTCCCAGGTCTGCTTGCTCTGCGAAAAGGCTTTATGGCCCGAATCTGCGTTTCAAGTTTACGGTTATCCCAATCTGCTTGCTCTGCGAAAAGGCTCTATGGCCCGAATCTCGGTTTCAAGTTTAAGGTTTTTCCAGGCCTGCTTGCTCTGCGAAAAGGCTCTATGGCCCGAATCTGGGTTTCAAGTTTAAGGTTTTCCCAGGTCTGCTTGCTCTGTGAGAAGGTTCTATGACCCGAATCTGGGTTTCAAGTTTAAGGTTTTTCCAGGTCTGCTTGTTCTGCGAAAAGGCTCTATGGCCCGAATCTGGGTTTCAAGCTTAAGGTTTTCCCAGGTCTGCTTGCTCTGCGAAAAGGCTCTATGGCCCGAATCTGGGCTTCAAATTCAAAATTTTCCCAGGTCTGTTTGCTCTGTATGGCCCGAATCTGGGTTTCAAGTTTAAGGTTTTCCCAGGTCTGCTTGCTCTGCGAAAAGGTTCTATGGCCCGAATCTGCGTTTCAAGTTTACGGTTATCCCAATCTGCTTGCTCTGCGAAAAGGCTCTATGGCCCGAATCTCGGTTTCAAGTTTAAGGTTTTTCCAGGTCTGCTTGCTCTGCGAAAAGGCTCTATGGCCCGAATCCGGGTTTCAAGTTTAAACTTTCCCAGGTCTGCTTGCTCTGCGAAAAGGCTCTATGGCCCGAATCTGGGTTTCAAGTTTACGGTTTGCCCAGGTCTGCTTGCCCTGCGAAAAGGCTCTATGGCCCGAATCTGGGTTTAAGGTTTTCCCAGGTCTGCTTGCTCTGCGAAAAGGCTCTATGGCCCGAATCTGGGTTTCAAGCTTAAGGTTTTGCCAGGTTTGCTTGTTCTGCGAAAAGGCTCTATGGCCCGAATCTGCGTTTCAAGTTTAAGTTTTTTTCAGGTCTGCTTGCTCTGCGAAAAAGGTTCTAAGGCCCGAGTCTGGGTTTCAAAATTAAGGTCTGCTTGCTCTGCGAAAAGGCTCTATGGCCCGAATCTGGGCTTCAAGTCTAACACGTTTTCTGGAGTTTAAGTTGTTCCCAGGTCTGCTTGCTCTGCGAAAAGGTTCGTTCTATGGTCCTATACCCGGGTTTAAAGCACGAGAAGTGTGGAAAGGAATAGGAAAGGAACGCGATACCTGTCAGTTCCCTACAAAAACTGTGCGTCTTGACACCAACCCAAGCCGAAAAGGGACGCGAAGGAACCCTCCAAGTGGAAATCCCCATAGTGGGGAAGGCGTTCCGGCTTCCCGCTGTGGGAGAATAGTACTATTATTCTCCAACAACAGGAAAAAAGGAATGCCCAAAACTGGCCTAAATGCTGCGTAACTGTGGTCTCCAGTTCTTTCTTTCTGTCTTACATATCAGTTATCAGTTATTGTTCTAACACGCTAAAAACACGTTCTCTAACACATTAAAATCACGTTTAATTCAAAGAGGTCATACCTCTCCTCTGTCTTTTTTCACTCTTGACACGGCCTTCTCGCACGGAAAAGGGCGGAGGCCCGTTATGGGGTATACCTCCTCTGTCTTTTTGAGGGCCCAATGGTAGAGGTATACCGAAGTACGACTTCTAGAGCTTAAGGTTTTCCCAGGTCTGCTTGCTCAGCGAAAAGGCTCTATGGCCCGAATCTGGGTTTCAAGTTTAAGGTTTCCCAGGTCTGCTCGCTCTGCGAAAAGGCTCTGTGGCCCGAATCTGGGTTTCAAGTTGAAGGTTTTCGCAGGGTTGCTTGCTTTGTGAAAAGGCTCTATGGCTCGAATCTGGGTTTCAAGTTTAAGGTTTGCCCAGGTCTGCTTGCTTGCGAAAAGGCTCTCTGGCCCGAATCTGGGTTTCAAGCTCAGGGTTTTCCCAGGTCTGCTTGCTTTGCGAAAAGGCTCTATGGCCCGAAGCTCTGCGAAAAGGCTCTATGTCCCGAATCTGGGTTTCAAGTTTAAGGTTTTCCCAGGTCTGCTTGCTCTGCGAAAAGGCTCATGGCCCGAATCTGGGCTTCAAGCTTAACACGCTTTCTAGAGTTTAGTTGTTCCCAGGTCTGCTTTCTCTGCGAAAAGGTTCTATGGTCCTAGCTTTTTGAATTCGGGATCCCGTGATTTCGGTAGTCTTGTCATCTTCTTTGTTTTGAGATGTTCCTTCTTTTTTGTTTTTTTTATTTTTCTGCAACAACTTAATTCGAGAGACGCTGGAAGGGCCAGCGTAGCACCTCATCTGGGCACCTCTCATCGCTGTGGAGCCCCGCTCCCACCACCAGGAGGTAGTACGTCAGGGAGCTGGTATCATAAATATCATAATTTAACTACTGCCTCACTCATATGGGGGGCACTCTCCAAGAAATACAGAGGGCATTGAACGCGTCAGAGCCGGATTCAGCTACGGAACACGCCCCCCTAACCCCAGGAACTTGCTGAGCCTAAGCCCGAAAGCCCAAAATATCTCAACCCTAGCCCTCCCTGTACACAAGCCTTCAACGGGTTCTGCAGATTTTTTGGGCTGGGCCGAGGCGGTCGACGTGCAGCATTTACAACTAACCTGACACCAGTCCTGGCTGTTTGGGCATGTGGAAAAAGTTCAGGATCACCAAGGCCCAAATAGGGGCTCATGAAAGTAGGAGTGGAAGGCATTCCACATGCATCGTGGATCATAGCATACCTGGCCTTTGATGCAGGGCATGGACCTCTGTTTGTAGCGCCAAATCTGAGTTGCGCCTCAGTATCGGAGAGTGGATCTATTTACGAAGCAAACTGTCTGCAAGACACAAGACACAAGCCACGCGAGGCGGGGACAGAGTAGACTTCGAGGCATCTCCGCTTCCAGCTACCATCTTGCACGTGTCATTCGTAGCGTATCATGTGAAGCTATTGCCGAACTCCGAGAGCTGCGGTCGCACTCTGAAGCAACAAGGAAGACGCTACATGGATCGCCTTAGTGAAGAAGTGTGTGAGTGTGCCTCTATGTTGCACGAATGATGCATGTTCAGCCCTCAACAGCCTGCAGGCTCAAGGCAAGGCAGCCAAACGGCAGGCTGATCTCAGATCCCATTCCTACCAGTAACGTCCACGCAACTCTCTGAGACAGCCTTGCACAGACTCAGGCACCTCGTTTTGGGACAGCTGCAAGGTGCTCTTGCAACAGTCAGCTTGGTTGACATGAGCACTCTCCACGTTTCAGGAGAACGCACACGTCCTGCATTAAACCAGCTACTTCGAGCTCATCATGAGGGCACCCATGAAGCTGACAGAGGTGCGCTTTTACAGCTTGCCTCTCTTGTAACTTGTAAGACTTTACATCCTAGACGTGTTTCCGTTGCACGGCACTTTGCACGGCACTTAGGATTTCTTGGCATTCCCTGCGTATCTTGCCCGTCTCGTGGAGCAGACAAACCTAAGACTCGCAGGATGGTCGGACGTCTGAGTCTGAAAGTCTGAGGACACAGTCTAAATCGTCTAAATTGTCTAAATCACATTCGGACACGCTCTGTCAATAAAGATTGGATCAAGGCACGATGTCAAGGGACTTTGCATTGCCTCGAACCTTTGGAATGCCTTCGCAAAACTCCTCTGCGCAACTGCACTCCAAATGAGCAGATCTCCCCGGCAGCAACGTGTCTCAACATGTCTCAACATGTCTCAGAATGTCTTCTGAAGCCAGGTCTGTGCGTGTGATGTCGCGTCCTGGACTGAGAGCCTGCCGTCGCCATCATCAAGGAGCCTTGGATGGATGTTCGAGCTGCAACCACCTGTCGCTGGATTTTTGCAGGGCGGGGGAGGCCGGGGGAGGCCGGGGGAGGGTTAGGTTGGGCACCGCTGCTGCAGAAGCTGCATCAAGGAGCTGGAAGAGCATCCGCGCATCGTGAACATCAACTTCGAGAGTGCTCAAGTAGTGCACAATCTCCTGAGGACGAGAAATGTACATCTGTGGAACTTCTGCCGTGCACACCGTCGGCGGCCTCCGCCTCTGTAGAAAACACTTGGGATCTTGGGATACACTTGGGATACACTGCCACCCAACGTGCAAGAAAGTGTCTGGATGTCGTAACAGCTTCTCCCACTCTGCGAGACTTAGTGACTGGTCGTTATCAAGGTCTGCGTCTTCGAAGAGGTGGGTCAGCTTGGCCTGATTCAGATTCGATCTGCACATAATCGCCTCGGCATCGACCTTTTCACGCACCAAGTCCCACATCTGGGTCGTCATTCATCCCTCCTCCTCCCCCACCCCCTCCCCATTGCACAGGGTTCGGCGGGGGGTTGTGTGTAACCGGCTTTAACTTTCAGCGCCCTTGCGGTTCAACATGTTCAAACGGTTTAAACTGTTTAAATGCGGTTTAAACATCAAACGGTGTAAACTGTCAAATGTTAAACGCACACAGAGTGGCTGCAAAGCGTACGCGTTTTGAGGTTTGGGGGCTTTGGGGCTTTGGGAGTTTTGAGTTAGGGTTTAGGGTCTAGGGGTCCTCGCTCCCAACCCTCTGAGAACTCACGCCCAACCTTGGGAACTGACACTCCGAAGACCTGAAGCTCAAACCCTGAAGCCTCTCCCTCAAACCCTCTCACAAACCTGACCCAAGCCTCCCAGCCCTGTCAATCCCGCCGGCTTTGAAGGTGGGGATCTGTGGACATGTTGAAACGCCCTGGAGCCCCACGAAACGTTTAGATGTTGAGCTTTGTGAACTGTTTAAACTGTTTAAACGCTCCGAAACCCGAACTCCGTTCAGACAGTTTAAACGCCTAACATGTTTAAACGTTTAAACGTCAAACATATTTGGCCCGTCCCTGCCATTGCATGCGGTGTGGATGTTCCTCTTGGAAGAACTGCTTCAGGGCTTAGGACCTGGAGATCACAGGCCCAAAGTTCGAACCCACTGCAACGAATCAGCGGTTGTTGCTTTGTTTCTTGTTTGCATCGCCCTGCGACGATTTCTCTGTGCTCTGCCTGGCAGAGGCACTCAAAGGCCAGGTGTTGGGGGCTCAAATCTACTCGAAATGCTGAACCTCAACATCAAAGCATTTCGAGGTGGCTGACAGCTCCAGAGGCGTAAATTGCCCGTCCAAGCTTTCGGCAGCTCTAAAAACATTATTCTGAGAACTCCACATGCTGCGCAGCACACCACGCAATAACATCGGGGTTGCGTGGTGGCTTGGTGGCACGGACTCCTTGAGGGGGACCCCGGAGGATTTTAAGAAAAGCCTTCCCCTAGTAACTCTCCGGCAGCGCCTAAGCCCAAAGCCTAAAACGCCGTTAGTCCCTGTAGACAGACTCTATTCATGTTCATCAATTTTCGGAAGATTCTCGGACCGGGCCGAGGCGGACAAGTACATCATGTCACGGTCTTGGCATTGTAAACCCCACCTTTCGCAACAGCATTCGCAGTAGCATTCATCAAGGCATGGAACATTGAAGCGAGCGTGCTCCACCTTGAAGAGACATGTTCTTTGCGCGCATGAAAATCTTGTCGGTTTGGGCTTGGCTTTGCTAAAGTTGTCCGTCGTCCACCTGCTTAAAGAACCACCGCGGCCCGCGAGGCAGGTCTTGGAACTTTGCTAGAGACCGCACCAGCATGGCGGTCTTGACGTCTTGGAGCGAAACTCTGTCCAAGTTTGTAGTTCGCGCTCCCTGAGCGCCGGCGGCCTCAGGACATAAGGGCTGTCATGGGCGGACGCCGTCGGACGCAGTCGGATGCCGAGCCCAAAACTCCACTAGTCTCTCTCTTGCTGCTCGCTGCAGGCCCCTGCCCAATCCTCCCATAGCCGCATCGAAGCGCTTTAAGCTTTCTTTTTCACATTCCCCTGTCAGCGGCCTTCGGTGCCCACGCATGCAGAAATCCTGTCAGCTCGCCGGCGCGCATGGCCCGCAGGCGTCGCGAATGTGTCCACCTAAACCTTATGCTAGAAATCTCTGATACTGGCCAGTCTCGCACAACCTTTTTTTGTACCTCATCTGCGCCACTGCATCACAAGCGCATGGCCACATGGTGATCTGCTTCATGGTCGCACATATCTCTCACTTGCCTGCAGCTCCGCAGTATGCTGTAGACGCTCCAGGACGGCCGTGCCAGCATCGTTAGAAAGCGTGTGCAAAGTCGAACGAACAAACAGCCTTGGCACAAAGACTGTCAAATTCATAGGCTGCTAAACTTGTCTTCTGTCATGAAAACATGTCCAAGTTGACAAGTGCCAAGGGGCGCCGCAATCAGACGGAGAGCTGCAAAAACCACGACAACAACGTAGATCAGGCAAGGTATGGCAAAGTACACGCTCACGTCGTCCACAAGGGGTCGAATCAAGTTTGGCCATCCACCACTAAATGTAATCTCAAAAAAAGTGTACATAGAACGTGTAAAACTGCCATATGTTTTCAAGAGGTTTTCCCGCACATCTCTGTCCTGCGTCGCATCCACGATGAAGCCAAAGCATGCTTCGCACAATATCAACGAAGCGATCATCATGCAGACCAAGAGCATCATCACCGACCAAAACAAAGCCGACAAACTAGCGCGGAAGACATCCACCATACCTTGGCACGTCCCATTGAAAGCCCTACAATGCCACTGCAGGTTCTTACCTCCTACTAACAAGATGCACTTCGCATTGATGAGTGTCCTCACGACATCTTGAATCACTAGCCACGAGCCGACGAACCACGTTAAACAACGGGCAGTGTTGGCCTGTCATGTTTTCTTCCTTAACTCAGCAGCGGGCGCTAGCAAACTGTTTGCAATGGCGGTTTGTGATGCGTCGTTTTGCTTTCCTCCACAAGTACACCGGCTCCACTCTCAACACTCCTTCCCACCTACGCTAAGCAACCGCCCACGGGTCTGGGAAGGAGCGCCGACCCAACGATCCAGCTCGTATAGGAATACCGTCCAATGATCTAGCAATAGGTCGTTCATGTATCTCGCTCAAGTTGCTCAATGGCGCAAGAAGACCCCTCTGGTACCAGAGCGGCCTTCTTAGCTTGAATGCATGATTTCACCGGAGGGGCCTCCTTGGGCCCAACTTGAGAAATGTTTTCACTGGAGCCTGGTTTTCGCCCAATTTGAACGCATGATTTTACCGAAGAGGCCTTCCCTGGCCAACTTGAATGCTTGATCTCACTGGAGGGGCCGCTTTGGGCCCAATTTGAACGCATGATTGCCTGGCCCAACTTGAAAGCATGACTTCGCCGGAGATGCTTTCCTGGGCCCAACTTTGAACGCATGATTTCACCGAATGGCCCTGCTTTTGGCAACTTGAATGTATGATTTCACCGGAGATGCCTTCTTGAGCCATCATAGCCTGAAGGAAAGCATAGCTCCGTACGGGCCTCGGCCTCCGAAAGCTAGCCCTACCCCGTTTACACAAGTAGCCCCAAGAAAGCCGCTCGAAACCCACCAAAACTCAGCAACTTATGATCGCTGGCGGAGCCCTCCCGAGAACCAGCCACTTGGAACCGCCTAGCTGGGGGTGTTGATAGCCAAAAGGCTACCGCAACATGTGCACATGTCGGCTCGTCAAGACGATAGTGCTGCAACTTCACTGATGCACAGACCCATGCAGAGTAGCTCAAACGTGACGGTGCAGGGGCAATCACGATAGTGCTTGTAAGAACCTAAAACGTTTCCGATGCTTTGAGCAAACTCAGCATGCACTGTCGTAATTCGTTGTGCTAGTCACGAGTGCGGATATGCATTCTGTGCGAGAGTGCATTTCGTACCTCTTGCACACTTTAGATTGCTCTTCTAGAGTGGCTGAAGTATACCCTTGGAATGCTTTCGGTGGTCATCTTGGCCCGGTTTACACAGCGAGGGGTCTTGTTGTTAAAGCCACTTGAGTTCTCCTTTTTACGTTTTGAAAGACAGTTCCGGGACTTAACAAAATTTGGCATCCATGGTTTGCGCGTCCGCTGTTTCTACCCCCCCCCCCCCCGCGCAGACATCCCTTTGCTTCATGAGATTCTTCACCGATCATGTCACATTACACGGAGATTCCCAGACCCCTCATGCGTGCCATTTCGTGCGAAGAGCGTCTTTTGACCGAAATCGACATATCATGTCCGACGGAAGTCCCGGGATCAAGTGCCTTCAGAAGCGCCAGAGCAAATTTCATCATGTTGCAGGAGGAATGCTCCAAACCCTCCAGCACCCCACACATGCCTTCTTACACGCAACTGGCTGCGAAACTCTTCCCACCTGCCTCGCCCGGCAAGAAGTAATTATTAGGAATCTAAGCTCAGCATGGGCATCACAGCCACACGAAAAAGCTGGCCTTCCAATTTCTGCTTGCGCCCCTGTTTGCTCGTGGACGAAAAACCTTCCATGCGCCCACACCCTCCCATCCTAGGAAATCGTACATGGCTGGAGCAACTGGCTGCGAAACTCTTCCCACCTGCCTCCCGGCAAGCAGTACTAGGAATCTAAGCTCAGCATGGGCATCACAGCCACACGAAAAAGCTGGCCTTCCAATTTCTGCTTGCGCCCCTGTTTGCTCGTGGACGAAAAACCTTCCATGCGCCCACACCCTCCCATCCTAGGAAATCGTACATGGCTGGAGCAACTGGCTGCGAAACTCTTCCCACCTGCCTCCCGGCAAGCAGTACTAGGAATCTAAACTCAGCATGGGCATCACAGCCACACGAAAAAGCTGGCCTTCCAATTTCTGCTTGCGCCCCTGTTTGCTCGTGGACGAAAAACCTTCCATGCGCCCACACCCTCCCATCCTAGGAAATCGTACATGGCTGGAGCAACTGGCTGCGAAACTCTTCCCACCTGCCTCCCGGCAAGCAGTACTAGGAATCTAAGCTCAGCATGGGCATCACAGCCACACGAAAAAGCTGGCCTTCCAATTTCTGCTTGCGCCCCTGTTTGCTCGTGGACGAAAAACCTTCCATGCGCCCACACCCTCCCATCCTAGGAAATCGTACATGGCTGGAGCAACTGGCTGCGAAACTCTTCCCACCTGCCTCCCGGCAAGCAGTACTAGGAATCTAAGCTCAGCATGGGCATCACAGCCACACGAAAAAGCTGGCCTTCCAATTTCTGCTTGCGCCCCTGTTTGCTCGTGGACGAAAAACCTTCCATGCGCCCACACCCTCCCATCCTAGGAAATCGTACATGGCTGGAGCAACTGGCTGCGAAACTCTTCCCACCGGCCTCCCGGCAAGCAGTACTAGGAATCTAAACTCAGCATGGGCATCACAGCCACACGAAAAAGCTGGCCTTCCAATTTCTGCTTGCGCCCCTGTTTGCTCGTGGACGAAAAACCTTCCATGCGCCCACACCCTCCCATCCTAGGAAATCGTACATGGCTGGAGCAACTGGCTGCGAAACTCTTCCCACCTGCCTCCCGGCAAGCAGTACTAGGAATCTAAGCTCAGCATGGGCATCACAGCCACACGAAAAAAGCTGGCCTTCCAATTTCTGCTTGCGCCCCTGTTTGCTCGTGGACGAAAAACCTTCCATGCGCCCCCACACTCCCATCCTAGGAATTCGTACATGGCTGGAGCAACTGGCTGCGAAACTCTTCCCACCTGCCTCCCGGCAAGCAGTACTAGGAATCTAAGCTCAGCATGGGCATCACAGCCACACGAAAAAGCTGGCCTTCCAATTTCTGCTTGCGCCCCTGTTTGCTCGTGGACGAAAAACCTTCCATGCGCCCCCACACTCCCATCCTAGGAATTCGTACATGGCTGGAGCAACTGGCTGCGAAACTCTTCCCACCTGCCTCCCGGCAAGCAGTACTAGGAATCTAAGCTCAGCATGAGCATCACAGCCTCACGAAAAAGACTAGCCCTCCCACTTCTGCTCGCACTTTGTTTGCTCGTGGATGGAAAACCTTTTGTGCGCCCCACCCTCCCATTCTAGAATTCGCACATGGCTGGAGCAACTGGCTGCGAGACTCTTCCCGCTTGCCTCCCGGCAAGCAGTACTAGGAATCTAAGCTCAGCATGGGCATCACAGCCGCACGAAAAAGCTAGCCCTCCTACTTCTGCTTGCACCTCTGTTTGCTCGTGGACGAAAAACCTTCCGCGCGCCCCATCCTCCCATTCTAGAAATTCCAAAATGAGAATTGGTCGTACCAAACTGTTCTCGCTTCCAAGAGACTTCTTAGGGGGCTGAACAAGTGCATGACCTTGGAGTGCGTGGGATTCATGCCACACACGCTCCCAAACAGTGCAGTGCGATGTAATGCACTCAAGCGACCCGGACTAATCGCATCGTCTTGACCTGAGTGTAGCATTCAGCACCGCTCAACAAGGTTCAGCACGCTCTACGGCATCACGTCCGCGAAGCGCGCGTGTGTCTCTGGAGCTCAAGCTCCGGACAAGTCAGCCAGCTCATGTCAGACTCATGGGTCCGCTCCAAGGTTCCAACAACTTTTGTAATCTTGAGGAGGCGGAGAATCTGTGTACTTGCGTAACTATCTCCTCGCAATCACCACTTCTCCGGTCATTGCTCTCTAAGATGCCATGTTGATGCTGTGACTCTGGACTCTGACATCTGGAAGCGCAGCTCTCTGCGGGCACTTCTGCGAACCCATTACTTGGGGCAATCATGATTCCGAAGAAGCCGCCCTATGCATGCCTAGATAACTGCGCTGCTGTCACTGCTATCTGGGCAAGGTAATTTCATGTATCAGCTCCTCTGAGTCTGGAGTTCGCGACCAGCAATGCATCCACCACACCAGAACCGACCAGCAAGAAGTCCTCAGCAGCGATTCATTCCAGGCTCTGCTTTGTCACATGGCCTTGCAACTCTCTTGCAAATGTGCGCGGCCAGAGGGCAAAGTAGTTGCCTCGGCAGCTTTGAGTTGAGAGTTCTTTTCGTTGCGCAAGGCAGATTTGGATTGACGTGGCAAAGCCAAGATTAAGGCAGTAAGTTGTGCAGAGCTGAGAAGAGCAGAGCTGAAGAGCTAAAGCGCAGCGGGTTGCCCCACATGTAGCCTTCTTCTTCCGTGTAGTACCACCTCTTTCGAGAGATCCCGACCCGGAGCACCATCTCACAGAGGTAGAAGGCCAGAAACACGTACTCGGCGACCTCAAAGCCCTTAGCAGAAACGAGTCGGGAAAACAAAAGGGTACACAACAGGAACCGAGCGCGTAGCCCTAACCCCTAAGCCCGAAAACCACCAAGAAAACAAAAAGAAACTGCTAGCAAGCCCTACTCCTACTCACTCTCCTAAACCCTGAACCCCTAACAAAGCCTAAAGTAGACCGATCATCAGTTCTTACAGCTGTGGGTCCCTGTTTTGGGCAAACACAAATACATATGACTTGCACAAATTCCATATGCTTGGGGGTCTATTCAGTTCATGGCTATGCAGAATCAACAGGTCGTTGCTCATTTTCGGTGGACTCTCGATGGACTCGACTCAACTGGGACTTGATCTCTGCATGGTTGGTGTCCAGTGTGGGCCCTTGCAATTCTGAAGGCCCGAAACCATGGGCCCATGCCTTGGACCCCAACTAACGGCTCCATTCCTCATCCTCTTCCATCTGTGGGACAACATGGACAACATCCCCCACCAACAAGGGCCCACTCGTCGGACCACGGCTCTAAGCAGGGTGCAAAGTCTTAACGTTTGGGTAACTTAATTTGGCAGAAAGAATTCCCCGTGGTTGCCGTGGGTCTTTTCCGTTTTCGACTTGGGTTCGGGGCGTTTCAGACTCAAGGCTTTGGGCGTTTTCAACCCAGGCGAAGTGGCTCAGGAACACTTTTCCGGACTTGGCGGTCACTCCTCTTTTGGTGCAGGCTAATGGCCAAAGACTGCTGACTAATGGCACAAGGTCAAAGCCAAGGGCTCATCCCTAACAGAGGTCTGGTGTTGCCAGGGAGTAGCTTCCAAGCCAGCTTTCACAATTATTGCCTGCTGAGAGGCATCAGGCGTATCTGCACTGATTTGCAGAGACCCCGAAGCAGCTTCCATGTCCAGGGCACGGCTAGCAATCGAGCCCTGCATTTGTTGCTCCACGATGAGCACCTCATGCTGGTCGTTCGAAAAATCAAGCCTCTTTTTTGTGTGCATGCCATTGGAAATCCTCACCAGCCCCTGCCATCACCCAATCTTCGAATTGTCAGTCCAGAAGTCTGAGCCCTTCGGTGCTTGAATCCATTTGAACTCTCGTCGAAGCCTCTAAGCCTTCCGCAACAGCTGCAGCGAAATTCCGCAAGGCACGCCAGCATTGATCAGAATGACGGCCCCGGCCAGCAAATCCTTGCTTGATGCTGGCTTTTCTGTAGATGCCCTCGGACCCTGCATCCGTTCTGGCGTTCTCCTAGATGACCCGAATCACTGAAGAGGCTGCTGGTGCTAATGGCAACGCCCTGTGACGCTATGTCTGGCTTTGAAGCGGCACCACATGTCCCTGCTATCCTGCACATCGGAATGGCTTGTCTGAGGGCAGTTCCAAGGGACCCTCCTCCACAAAGCTCTGCAACTTTTCCATCCTCGTCAACTGTTTGAGCAGCTTCGTCTTGTGGACCCGTGCCTCCCGGGCATACATAAACTAGGTCGCAATAGTAGCTTCTCCTCCATGAAGCAAGTCCCAATTCAGGATGAAGATCATGTTCAATCAAGCGCCTATCCTTTCGCTACTTTGCGAAAGACTTACAAAGCAAGAGCTATCAGGCTATAAAGTGCATGGTTTGCCAGGGCCGCCAGCCTGGATTCGCGAAGCAATCCGGGACTTGGCCAGCGGTGCCTACGAGGAAAGGAAACTGGCGCGAAGGATCACGAAGGCAACAGCCACGCCATGACTCAACCGCCCAAGTAATAAAGCTTCTCACAGTATCTCAGTAGGGGTCCATGGGATCACATGCCATCCACTAAGCCCAAAAAACCACGCCTTATCCGCCGAGGCCTCGGGCTGGAGGTACAGGCACCCCCCTCCAAATCCTCCACCACGCCCAAAACCCTTTTTGTTTTGCCTCAAATGGGTACCCCCCCTACAAAACCGGGGGTCCGCAAGTGGCCTGTTCTCCAGGACCAGAGGCAGTTGAAGCCCCTCCCAGCAGGGCCCCCACCCCCCCTTACCCCCCTAGCCGAAGAGTCTAAGCTTGAACCTAAACCCTAAACCTTAAACCTTAAACCTTAAGCACTTAACCCTCAAACCTTCAACAACCCCCCCCCCCCTTCCCCCCTGCCCCCCTTCCCCCCCCATGGCTCAACCCTGCGATCAATCCAAGCCGAACCCGTTCTTGAACCCAAAAAAAAACCCTCAACCCCAAAGCGTGAACCTTGAGCCCTAAGCCCTCAATCCTAAACTAACCCTCAACCCTAAACCCCAAACCATAAACCATAAACCCGGAACCCTAAACCCTAAACCCAACCCTTATTGCTTGGGGTCCAGCGACTTGGGCGCTGCGGAATCACCATGCTCACGCGGATGCGCTGGGCCGGGCCGAGGCGGGTTGCGTAGCATTAAAATTAATCAACAACTAACCATCAACTGTTGATGACTAAGGTATTAAGTATGCCCTTCCTATGGCACACGCTGGGGGGGTTGGGGGGGGGTGGGGGGGGGTTGGGGGGGGGTTGGGGGGGGGGTTGGGGGGGGTTGGGGGGGGTTGGGGGGGTTGGGGGGCACCCCACCCCCACAGGGAGATGTCAAGAACTCTGGCATACTGAGTAGACTTCAGGATTTTTGCATATTTTGGGGTATGAGGTCGGGGTATGTGGAAAAGTCTTTAGTGAGCACTTTGGTCACACTGTTTTTGCTGTCGGCCTCCTCGTGCGTGGTCTCAGGAACACGGAGCGACACAGCTGAGCTTTGGACCAAGTCCTCCAAGCGGGCAACTTATGGAGAGATGAGCATCTAGGGAAGTTGTGTCAGTCTTTGGTCAGTCTGTGCCCACTTGTTCTGCGGTCACATGGCTCAACCGAAGGCGGCTCGTCGGCAGCGCAGTAAAGGACGAAGACTGCAGCGCAACAACCAAACCGCTGATGATCCCGTCCTGCAGGTGATCTAACTGCTCCAAGCTGACGTTCGCAGTCGCCGTGTCTATCAAAGGATCGCCTGCCTGCAAAGGCATGCGAGCATTCTGGTGTTTAAAGAGAGGTCTGCTTATAACACGATGTTCATCTCTGCTGTGGGCCTGGAGCCCTCCAATTTGCTCAATATATCGCTGCACTCACGTCACAGTCCAAATACACAGTCACGTCACAGTCCACATGCAAGTTCAATGAAGGCGCTAAGCCACTGAACCTAGTAACTCAGCATGGAGCAAACTTCATGCAGGACATTCGCCTCGACATTTGGGGCAGACATTGATCCTGCAACAGGATGCTAGTGAATCTCTGGAAAAGCTATTCAGCACTTCTGCTAACTTCCCTCCAACCCACGGTGACAACGGCCGGTCCTTTGTGGGGAAGATGCACAGCATCGCCATCAGGAGCCAGCCCATCTGATCATAAAAATGCACGCAGACACGCACTCGGCAGACTGGAAGCAGCGAAGGAAGACGGAAGACTCACGTGCACTGAACATTGACAGCGGAAACAGCCCGCAGCAAAAGCAATCAATATGAACAGCGCAGATAGCACGCACCAGAACAAGTACGACGACACCACTACCACCACCACCACCACACACAACCACGACCCCGAAGATGACGAGTGGCACAACCAGAAGCAAACAAAACACAGCAACAATTACAACATGTACCAGCACTAATTCCTCAGTGTGCTTATAAATATATATATATATATATACATATATATATATGCTACCCCCCCCCCCCAGTGACCTACCGTTTTCGTGTGTTTTATTAGAAAAAATATCACACACACACACACACACACACACACACACACACACACACACACACACACACACACACACACACATATAAAGGCACACACATACGAAACGTGCACCTTTTCTCACTGTCTTATAGCGACGAGACGTAACTGCCCGAAACACTGCCTTATAGAGTACCGCGTGAGAGCAGTGTGATCAGTGCGTGCAAGTATAGATGCCATGTGCACAGTTTGCAGGAATGAGACGCGCACCCCTTACTGCTTTCGCACGATACCCTTCAGGTACTCTGCCACCAGCTTTCCTGTACACAGCCAGAGATCGTCTTTCCTGTGCCAATACTCATATTGGGCACTACGAATCTGGGCAGTAAGCATGGTGGAGCCTGCCCTAACAGCGTTGTTGCGGCGAAGTCGCTCCTTTATGAACCGCCAAGCCTGTCTACGATTTGGGTTCCTGCCTTTGTCTTGATGCGGCGTCCATTCGGGAGTTTGTGGCTGGACACCTTGACATAGGTAGGTTGAACCCAGACGAATTTACCACCCCGCTTCACTCGCTTCTTCCTGTGAGTGACAGCATCATGAACGACGCCAGGGATCTTCATGCGGTAGGAACGCGCGGAGTCGGAATGGAGCACGACGGAGCGGTTTTTGAGCCACTTGTTTGCTATAGGTTTCCAGTCAATTTTGCGCATAGCCCCTGGGCCTGGGGCTCTGGGCACGGTGATTGCCGGATTGAGCTTTGTCAACACCAGGGTGTGTGGAGATCCTCTTTGAATAAGGCCGCCCCGCTGCTCCCACTGCACGTTTTTGCCTGCTGCAGCATCATCTTTTGTGATTTCGTACTCTTGCAACGTTTTCTTGTCAAAGGTGGCCTCATCGACCTCAACATCTTTCCAACTCTTGGGGTTCCCTCCAAAGCAGATGGACTTTTCGGATTCCTGCACATGACCTTTGCGAAGAAGTAACAAGTTCTTGTTCATGTGCTCAACTGCTTTGTGGTTCATGTGGGTCAAGATGTGAATGTCAGCCAAAGGAACGTTGACGAGTCGAAGTAAGAGTGCGGCAGCTTGCTTCTGTAGGGAGTGGCCTTCTGAACCCATGGTCTTTGTGAAGATCGGGTGCAGCTCCACAGGCGAGATGTAGTGCTGACAATGCTTGCGATTGCATCGATACACGAGATGATCAGAACCGGGACGAGTCATGAGGGAACTGAGTCTTCCTGTGTTGCAATGAGGACATACAGCACCAGTCCAATCGGGTAGCATCTTGTCCTCCTGTAAGATGCGTATGACGCCCTGGGGAGTAGCAGTCAAGAGCTCGTCCAGGCTTCGCTGCCATTTTACTTGCTCTTTCCGAACATGACTGGGACCCTCTGAATGCCTCTGATAAGGAATCTTGTTCCACTCAGCTTGCTTCTTGCCGGCCGGACGCTTCGCAATCACGCGCTGCACCCCTCGTTTGGGGGCCGGAAATGGTTTCAAGCTCTTCCCCATGTTGTATGGGGCGTCAGGGCTGAGACAGTGGAAACTACGAATCACACCAATAAGGTCTTGAGTTAAAATCAGACAAAGACATGCTCATGCAACTGGTGCTCTGTGACACGTCGTCCGGAGACATTTGGACGCATTTGTTTTACTGCGAGAGAGACGCGAGGTAACTGCTTCATATCGATTCGATGTTGCTGCCTTTAGCAACATACAGACACTACGCCTCCAAAATCCAAAGCAACTCGAAAGTTTTTTTTAGCCCTATATCTTAAACCACACGACACACCAACATACATCACTTTATGTGTACACATACTCAAAACGCAAAACATATATGCTGGTTTCCCTTCAGTGATTAATAATAGTGTTCTGTAACGAAGCCGACGAGTACTACTGAATGTGTCAAAACCAGTAGTCGGGCTAGCGTTGTGTGTCAGTACTCGGAGTCCACGAGTAGTCGGTACGGCACTCGCTGTGCGTCACTACTTGGAATCCATTGAGTCCACCACGTCCATTTCTGTGCACTCTTCGTCAATGATAGCTTCCAACACGCGTTCAATTTCATCAGGACGGTGACCGACCTGTGGCATGATATCTTCGTCATCAAAGTCATCGCAGGGGACACCTCGTATCTAACTTCACTGCACTTCGATATTAAAAACGAGTATATGGCTACAATACTTTTATCTATGCTTGTTGACGCACGAATTGCCTGAAAACTCTGGGTTGGGGATGTCAGAGACCGAAGAAGCTTTGATCTTTGGGTTCTTGCTGGAATCCACATGGGCGGACGATGCAGTCGGAAGAGGTCGCTTCTTTGATGGTGTAGGCGAGTCAAGTTCGATGACCTGTGGAGCCGATGCCTTCAAAGCCCGAAATGCTGTTGTGACCTTCTCTTCCTTGATCTTGACGCGAAGTGCTTCAGGCGAAAGGACAGACGCATGAACTGACTGAGGTGGCCTGACACATAAACGAGTATTGTTTTCATATCTATATTATGAAAAACAAGTTTATCTGATAGGCTCACATCTTAAACCTTAAACCCTAAATCCTTCACCTTAAACCCTAAAACCTATTTCATTAGGAACCACAGCCTACGCTCGCCGAACGGACTCGTAGGAGTACGGATAGTGTGACTGCGTGGGATAGTCTCGCCATTCAGGAGTCTGCGAAGCATCTCTTGTGACCAAGCACAGTCTTCATGATAGCAGTCCGGAAGTTGATGCTGAGAAGGATTGAGCTTGTAGGCTTTGAAGATTGCATGGTAAGATGGCGCGAGCAAGTCCTTGGGTTGATCTTTCTCCCACTCAATGAATGGCACAGGAGAAGTGCTGGTGGCCGCAACTCGGTAGTAGATGCCATTGTCAGTGAGTACGATGAGATGGGTTCGGGCCAAGATTGCGGCCATGTCCTCATCATCATCAACACCGCAAAATGATGGGTTGATCAGCTTCAGGAATGTCTCGTGTGGAATTTCCCAGATTTTCCGGCTGTTCATGGCGGCGAATGCTTCCTCATCGACTCTGCGATCATAAGGATTGTTGCAAGCATGCCGACCAGCACCTTGCTCAAATTGCGCGGAAGAATATCGTGCCCATACCGTCGCATCCTCTTCCTTATGTAAATAGAAACTCTTATACATGTATTTAGAAAAAAATATGGGTAACACCACATACAAGTACTAAACACCACCCAGAAGTACTAAACGACACGCAATGAAAATTTATTTAATCTCGAAACAAAGACACAGAGGGGTTGAGGAAGGCTTTCAGGAAAGAGGCATCCATTTTCTGGAGCATGCCGTCGTCGAACACACCCGGCTTGAACCTTGTGAGTGGTTCAGCCTTGAAGAAATCCAAATGTTTAGCAGTCACAATCGAGGGCACGAGGTCCTTGCGATCTGCGACATCGATTTCGTACTTCGACTGCATGAAGAGGATTGTTTTCGAGCCTAAGGATTTTCCAGTCCGAGTTCGGCCGATCCATGTAATTGAGTGCTGGCGCATGGTGGGAAGCATCTTCGTGAGGATGATGTCAAAGAACCACGGTGTGAACGACTTGAGTGTAAAGGGCCAGTATTCCAGCGACTTCGCATTCTGCCTGCCGCGCATGTGATTGTGCAGTGCTTCCTTGACCTTCCCCTCTGGCCAACCCTCGATCTTGCTCCCAGGCATGTTGATGTGTTCATCCGTCCACTCCATGAATTGGTTGCGATTATTGGCCTTTGGGCCAAAGTCCCTGATGAACTTGTAGCCTTCTTCTCTGGCCTGTTGGTCCACAGTGATTTTTTTCTCGTACTTGGGCTTGAGTACCCAAAATCTAAGCTGTTTACCGCCCATTTTGTCCATCATGAAGTTCAGTCCCATGAGAGCAACTCTTGTACGATGTCCCCATTCGAATCTCAAAGAAGTGCCGTGACACATAGCGACACAGTCCGCTGCGGTGAGTTTGTTGCGATGCAAGTACACATGCTTGAAGATGTGGAAATAGGAGCCGTTTGGATCTCCACCTGCCGGTGGCTCACTCGACTGAATGATGATTTGCATGGTGTAGGGCACGGAGGGTTCCTTCTTCAGATTGAAAGGCTCAGGCAACTGGGCAAACTTGCTCTCGCAGCAAATCTTGTAGAGGTTATCGAAAAGGGCACTTGTGATCTCGATGGGGTGGCATAAGAGGGCATCGGCGAACTGCTCAATTTTGTGCCCCACACTAGATTCTAGGTGCCGCACAGGAAGATCGCCCACATCAACTTCTCCTACCGCCCTATCTGACCGGAAAGGTCGTCTTTCCGGCCCTTGCAGTTTCATGCCATTGACTTGGCCGCAAGCCTCATCAAAGGTTAACGGCCCGTCTTGAGCTTCAGCTTCGGCTGAGCGAAAGTACGCCATTGGCAAGGAGAGATGCGAGTGTGATGGAGCGACAACGAGTATGGTGACTGCGAGCCGCGAAAAAATGTGCAAAGACACGACGTTCCGCATATCCGCAACTCTCCGTTTACGCAGCACGCACACCAAAACCAAAAAAAACCAAAACCAAAAAACCAAAAAAACCAAAACCAAAAAAAAACCAAAACCAAAAAAACCAAAAAAAAAACCAATTTTCCGGGACTCTTGGAGAAGCCTGGTAGGAATTCCTGAGAGTCCCGGAAAATTGTTTTTTTTGGCTTTTTTGGTTTTGTTGGTTTTGGTTTTTTTGGTTTTTTTTGGTTTTGGTTTCTTTGGTTTTTTCCTTCTATTAGTGTAATTTAGTAGCCTGCATTGCCATTTTTTGTTTTTTTGTTTTTTTTTGCCTTTTTTTGGCTTTTTTTTCTGTTTTGTGCCTTTTTTGTGCCTAAACCCTAACGATGCATACCAAGTGGGCTTGTAGTGCAGCTGGGTGACCTGAGACAAGGCAAGAAAAAGGTAGGTCACTGGGGGGGGGGGGGTACCATTATAGCTACCCCCCCCCAGTGACCTACCGTTTTCGTGTGTTTTATTAGAAAAAATATCACACACACACACACACACACACACATAAAGGCACACACATACGAAACGTGCACCTTTTCTCACTGTCTTATAGCGACGAGACGTAACTGCCCGAAACACTGCCTTATAGAGTACCGCGTGAGAGCAGTGTGATCAGTGCGTGCAAGTATAGATGCCATGTGCACAGTTTGCAGGATGAGACGCGTACCCCTTACTGCTTTCGCACGAAACCCTTCAGGTACTCTGCCACCAGCTTACCTGTACACAGCCAGAGATCGTCTTTCCTGTGCCAATACTCATATTGGGCACTACGAATCTGGGCAGTAAGCATGGTGGAGCCTGCCCTAACAGCGTTGTTGCGGCGAAGTCGCTCCTTTATGAACCGCCAAGCTCTGTCTACGATTTGGGTTCCTGCCTTTGTCTTGATGCGGCGTCCATTCGGGAGTTTGTGGCTGGACACCTTGACATAGGTAGGTTGAACCCAGACGAATTTACCACCCCGCTTCACTCGCTTCTTCTTGTGAGTGACAGCATCATGAACGACGCCAGGGATCTTCATGCGGTAGGAACGCGCGGAGTCGGAATGGAGCACGACGGAGCGGTTTTTGAGCCACTTGTTTGCTATAGGTTTCCAGTCAATTTTGCGCATAGCCCCTGGGCCTGGGGCTCTGGGCACGGTGATTGCCGGATTGAGCTTTGTCAACACCAGGGTGTGTGGAGATCCTCTTTGAATAAGGCCGCCCAACTGCTCCCACTGCACGTTTTTGCCTGCTGCAGCATCATCTTTTGTGATTTCGTACTCTTGCAACGTTTTCTTGTCAAAGGTGGCCTCATCGACCTCAACATCTTTCCAACTCTTGGGGTTCCCTCCAAAGCAGATGGACTTTTCGGATTCCTGCACATGACCTTTGCGAAGAAGTAACAAGTTCTTGTTCATGTGCTCAACTGCTTTGTGGTTCATGTGGGTCAAGATGTGAATGTCAGCCAAAGGAACGTTGACGAGTCGAAGTAAGAGTGCGGCAGCTTGCTTCTGTAGGGAGTGGCCTTCTGAACCCATGGTCTTTGTGAAGATCGGGCGCAGCTCCACAGGCGAGATGTAGTGCTGACAATGCTTGCGATTGCATCGATACACGAGATGATCAGAACCGGGACGAGTCATGAGGGAACTGAGTCTTCCTGTGTTGCAATGAGGACATACAGCACCAGTCCAGTCGGGTAGCATCTTGTCCTCCTGTAAGATGCGTATGATGCCCTGGGGAGTAGCAGTCAAGAGCTCGTCCAGGCTTCGCTGCCATTTTACTTGCTCTTTCCGAACATGACTGGGACCCTCTGAATGCCTCTGATAAGGAATCTTGTTCCACTCAGCTTGCTTCTTGCCGGCCGGACGCTTCGCAATCATGCGCTGCACCCCTCGTTTGGGGGCCGGAAATGGTTTCAAGCTCTTCCCCATGTTGTATGGGGCGTCAGGGCTGAGACAGTGGAAACTACGAATCACACCAATAAGGTCTTGAGTTAAAATCAGACAAAGACATGCTCATGCAACTGGTGCTCTGTGACACGTCGTCCGGAGACATTTGGACGCATTTGTTTTACTGCGAGAGAGACGCGAGGTAACTGCTTCATATCGATTCGATGTTGCTGCCTTTAGCAACATACAGACACTACGCCTCCAAAATCCAAAGCAACTCGAAGGTTTTTTTTAGCCCTATATCTTAAACCACACGACACACCAACATACATCACTTTATGTGTACACATACTCAAAACGCAAAACATATATGCTGGTTTCCCTTCAGTGATTAATAATAGTGTTATGTAACGAAGCCGACGAGTACTACTGAATGTGTCAAAACCAGTAGTCGGGCTAGCGTTGTGTGTCAGTACTCGGAGTCCACGAGTAGTCGGTATGGCACTCGCTGTGCGTCACTACTTGGAATCCATTGAGTCCACCACGTCCATTTCTGTGCACTCTTCGTCAATGATAGCTTCCAACACGCGTTCAATTTCATCAGGACGGTGACCGACCTGTGGCATGATATCTTCGTCATCAAAGGCATCGCAGGGGACACCTCGTATCTAACTTCACTGCACTTCGATATTAAAAACGAGTATATGGCTACAATACTTTTATCTATGCTTGTTGACGCACGAATTGCCTGAAAACTCTGGGTTGGGGATGTCAGAGACCGAAGAAGCTTTGATCTTTGGGTTCTTGCTGGAATCCACATGGGCGGACGATGCAGTCGGAAGAGGTCGCTTCTTTGATGGTGTAGGCGAGTCAAGTTCGATGACCTGTGGAGCCGATGCCTTCAAAGCCCGAAATGCTGTTGTGACCTTCTCTTCCTTGATCTTGACGCGAAGTGCTTCAGGCGAAAGGACAGACGCATGAACTGACTGAGGTGGCCTGACACATAAACGAGTATTGTTTTCATATCTATATTATGAAAAACAAGTTTATCTGATAGGCTCACATCTTAAACCTTAAACCCTAAATCCTTCACCTTAAACCCTAAAACCTATTTCATTAGGAACCACAGCCTACGCTCGCCGAACGGACTCGTAGGAGTACGGATAGTGTGACTGCGTGGGATAGTCTCTCCATTCAGGAGTCTGCGAAGCATCTCTTGTGACCAAGCACAGTCTTCATGATAGCAGTCCGGAAGTTGATGCTGAGAAGGATTGAGCTTGTAGGCTTTGAAGATTGCATGGTAAGATGGCACGAGCAAGTCCTTGGGTTGATCTTTCTCCCACTCAATGAATGGCACAGGAGAAGTGCTGGTGGCCGCAACTCGGTAGTAGATGCCATTGTCAGTGAGTACGATGAGATGGGTTCGGGCCAAGATTGCGGCCATGTCCTCATCATCATCAACACCGCAAAATGATGGGTTGATCAGCTTCAGGAATGTCTCGTGTGGAATTTCCCAGATTTTCCGGCTGTTCATGGCGGCGAATGCTTCCTCATCGACTCTGCGATCATAAGGATTGTTGCAAGCATGCCGACCAGCACCTTGCTCAAATTGCGCGGAAGAATATCGTGCCCATACCGTCGCATCCTCTTCCTTATGTAAATAGAAACTCTTATACATGTATTTAGAAAAAATATGGGTAACACCACCTACAAGTACTAAACACCACCCAGAAGTACTAAACGACACGCAATGAAAATTTATTTAATCTCGAAACAAAGACACAGAGGGACGGTGTGAACGACTTGAGTGTAAAGGGCCAGTATTCCAGCGACTTCGCATTCTGCCTGCCGCGCATGTGATTGTGCAGTGCTTCCTTGACCTTCCCCTCTGGCCAACCCTCGATCTTGCTCCCAGGCATGTTGATGTGTTCATCCGTCCACTCCATGAATTGGTTGCGATTATTGGCCTTTGGGCCAAAGTCCCTGATGAACTTGTAGCCTTCTTCTCTGGCCTGTTGGTCCACAGTGATTTTTTCTCGTACTTGGGCTTGAGTACCCAAAATCTAAGCTGTTTACCGCCCATTTTGTCCATCATGAAGTTCAGTCCCGTGAGAGCAACTCTTGTATGATGTCCCCATTCGAATCTCAAAGAAGTGCCGTGACACATAGCGACACAGTCCGCTGCGGTGAGTTTGTTGCGATGCAAGTACACATGCTTGAAGACGTGGAAATAGGAGCCGTTTGGATCTCCACCTGCCGGTGGCTCACTCGACTGAATGATGATTTGCATGGTGTAGGGCACGGAGGGTTCCTTCTTCAGATTGAAAGGCTCAGGCAACTGGGCAAACTTGCTCTCGCAGCAAATCTTGTAGAGGTTATCGAAAAGGGCACTTGTGATCTCGATGGGGTGGCATAAGAGGGCATCGGCGAACTGCTCAATTTTGTGTCCCACACTAGATTCTAGGTGCCGCACAGGAAGATCGCCCACATCAACTTCTCCTACCGCCCTATCTGACCGGAAAGGTCGTCTTTCCGGCCCTTGCAGTTTCATGCCATTGACTTGGCCGCAAGCCTCATCAAAGGTTAACGGCCCGTCTTGAGCTTCAGCTTCGGCTGAGCGAAAGTACGCCATTGGCAAGGAGAGATGCGAGTGTGATGGAGCGACAACGAGTATGGTGACTGCGAGCCGCGAAAAAATGTGCAAAGACACGACGTTCCGCATATCCGCAACTCTCCGTTTACGCAGCACGCACACCAAAACCAAAAAAAACCAAAACCAAAAAACCAAAAAAACCAAAACCAAAAAAAAACCAAAACCAAAAAAACCAAAAAAAAAACCAATTTTCCGGGACTCTTGGAGAAGCCTGGTAGGAATTCCTGAGAGTCCCGGAAAATTGTTTTTTTTGGCTTTTTTGGTTTTGTTGGTTTTGGTTTTTTTGGTTTTTTTTGGTTTTGGTTTCTTTGGTTTTTTCCTTCTATTAGTGTAATTTAGTAGCCTGCATTGCCATTTTTTGTTTTTTTGTTTTTTTTTGCCTTTTTTTGGCTTTTTTTTCTGTTTTGTGCCTTTTTTGTGCCTAAACCCTAACGATGCATACCAAGTGGGCTTGTAGTGCAGCTGGGTGACCTGAGACAAGGCAAGAAAAAGGTAGGTCACTGGGGGGGGGGGGGTACCATTATAGCTACCCCCCCCCAGTGACCTACCGTTTTCGTGTGTTTTATTAGAAAAAATATCACACACACACACACACACACACACATAAAGGCACACACATACGAAACGTGCACCTTTTCTCACTGTCTTATAGCGACGAGACGTAACTGCCCGAAACACTGCCTTATAGAGTACCGCGTGAGAGCAGTGTGATCAGTGCGTGCAAGTATAGATGCCATGTGCACAGTTTGCAGGATGAGACGCGTACCCCTTACTGCTTTCGCACGAAACCCTTCAGGTACTCTGCCACCAGCTTACCTGTACACAGCCAGAGATCGTCTTTCCTGTGCCAATACTCATATTGGGCACTACGAATCTGGGCAGTAAGCATGGTGGAGCCTGCCCTAACAGCGTTGTTGCGGCGAAGTCGCTCCTTTATGAACCGCCAAGCTCTGTCTACGATTTGGGTTCCTGCCTTTGTCTTGATGCGGCGTCCATTCGGGAGTTTGTGGCTGGACACCTTGACATAGGTAGGTTGAACCCAGACGAATTTACCACCCCGCTTCACTCGCTTCTTCTTGTGAGTGACAGCATCATGAACGACGCCAGGGATCTTCATGCGGTAGGAACGCGCGGAGTCGGAATGGAGTACGACGGAGCGGTTTTTGAGCCACTTGTTTGCTATAGGTTTCCAGTCAATTTTGCGCATAGCCCCTGGGCCTGGGGCTCTGGGCACGGTGATTGCCGGATTGAGCTTTGTCAACACCAGGGTGTGTGGAGATCCTCTTTGAATAAGGCCGCCCCACTGCTCCCACTGCACGTTTTTGCCTGCTGCAGCATCATCTTTTGTGATTTCGTACTCTTGCAACGTTTTCTTGTCAAAGGTGGCCTCATCGACCTCAACATCTTTCCAACTCTTGGGGTTCCCTCCAAAGCAGATGGACTTTTCGGATTCCTGCACATGACCTTTGCGAAGAGGTCACTGGGGGGGGGGGGTACCATATATATATATATATGTGTGTATATATGTGCGAGTACCCTGTTGTCATCAATCATCCGAGCTCCTGTTTAATTTAACCCCCCATATTTAAAGAAACTTTTTTTGCCCGGATTCCCGCCGGAAGACTACTTTCCATTACGATGGATTTCGTATGGGCCAAATCCTCCACATTTAAAGAAATTTTTTTGGGGGAGGTTGTCAAATTTTGAAACTCTGCCTTTCGGAAAGTATTCAGTTTTAATAGAGATTCTATACAGTCCTATTGTTTTCAATACGTTCTTATTGTTTTTTAATAAAGAAACCATACGGGGCCATGGTCCAACTATTGCGGAACCCTGCTTTCCTTATTGTGGGGGGGGGGGGGCCCCACCAATTAAACAGGAGCTCGGATTAATTTGTGGCGAGCACAGCCTTTCTTGCCACGTCGTGTCAACGCCGTCGCAATAAATTCGCAAAGTCGAAGGCCGAAGCGGCGGATGGCCGCAAATGCTACACCGGTTCGTTTGCACATATGTGCGCTATACCATAAACCACTGGGGGGGGGGGGGGGGGGCATAACAACAAAGACGGCAGAACGGCCAAAACCGCTCATGATTGAGGAGCACTGATTGCAATTCCGCACTTCATCTCACATTGGTTGCTTGAGAAAGCCATCTGATCATCCGCCAATCTTCACCCTAAAGAGCTACTGGCATGCCACAGAAGAATAACATGCCCAGGCACCAGCTCGGTGCCAATCGCGCATCGAATCCAGGGTAGCCTGCTCACAGGCCGTGATCACATGAAGCCACGGCTACCTCAACCTACTCCTCCATTTGCTGGATGATGCACTTTGCCACGCCGGCTCTTGACGACGATTATGTGAAGGGAGGCTACATCCACACTGGCCCCAAGACGCCCAAGTCAAGGCGCGGAACACTACAACCAAGACACCGAACTTCGCATTGGATGCCTGTATTGGTTTGATGTATTAAGGGACCTGTCTGGCTTGCTTGGATCTCAGAGCTAGCCGCACAAGGATGTCAAAGCTCACTTTCCACAACCTGTTCGGTGCACTAGAAATCACTATAAGGTCTTGATGAAGATCTGAAACATCGTTTGGTTGCAATGTGGACTTGCTACCCCTGAAGGTCTGCTTAGGCTTGATGCCAGCCAACAAATTGGCAGAGTTAGATTAGAAGTTGGCAGCGGGCGAAAAAGAGAGCACAGCACATGCAAACTTGCCCGGCTTTGGGATAGGAATGAGCGGCAGCAAACAACCAAGACAAATAAGCAGAATGCAGGCAGGCAAAATACAGAGCAAAATGCAGGAAGCACAACCACAGCTCTTTTTAGGCTGGCGGAAAGCAAGGCAAGAAAAACGAAGGAAAGGAGAAAAGTCTATCTGGTCGCACCCCGTTCTGCCCGTGTCGTAGAAAGCTTTGCGGAAGCTGCAGGCTCAGTTGACGTCAAGTAAAGTGCGAATGTGAACAAAGTCTTGACGAAATCGCTCTCGGGAAGAGCAGCAAAAGCAGGCCTAGGGCCTAGCGCATGCCACGAGCATGCACACTGCCTGTTGCTGTTGGAGCGTTCGCATCACCAGCGCATGGTGTTCACGAATCAACTCCTCAACGGTGGCAGACTTGAGATCCTGCCAACGAAAGAGATTGCACCAGGTGCCGATTCATGGCTGGCTGTAACATTGCAATGCCTTCCTGTAGTACCGTACCACAGTAGCCCAGCCTCTTCCGGCCCTTCACATGGCCGGCACTGCAGCAGCCACGACATGGGAGAGACCAGCTGAAACTATCTGCTTCCACACTGTTCTGAGTTCCCAGTCCAAGCAATCCAGGAAACAGCTTCTTTGAATGTCCTGGATCTGTTGCACGATGAGCTTGGAATGGGCGTAAAACTGTCGTGAAATGGTGTGAAGATACGTACCAACATGCTTCCACCTAAAGCAGCATCTGCTGCAGCAGCCCGGGCCGGATCAGAGTTGGGAGCAAGACTGGAAAGTTGGAGGCGGAAGCAGCTGAAGCGGCTGAAGCAGCTGGCAGCAGCAACTTCATGTCAACTTACAGCACACTTTTGCATGGCACCACAACTGCGCAGTTTGGTGGTAGAAACTGTGCCTTTGGCAAGATTCCTCCGCCAACATGTACAGATGTGGACAGTGCACAGCGGCACAGCGTACAAGAGTTACGAGGCGCAGAAGACTCTTGGCGTGACGCACTGGGCATCTGCTCCTTCCAAACTGTTCAGAATTAATTGCAGTTAGGACTCAAGTTAAGACTCACTTTCGGACTCGTGAGGGTTCTGCGCCGACTAATTCCGAATTTTAACCTTTCTGGTCACAGATGAGGGGCCGAGGCAGGCGCGCAGGATCTATGAGATTCTTTGAGATCTATCTGCGGTCTGTAAGCAAGGGGACGCTTTCAGACCCTGTCAGACATATCCACGCTGGGCCTCTCCGTGCCTGCCTGGACACCCTCAGAATCCATTTTGGATTTCACTTGCTCTCGCTTCATCTCGCTTCGAGCCGAGCACAAGCTCACAAAGCAAAAGGTGCTGAAAGTGTTGCACGTGTTGCGCGCGAAAGCTTGCGGAAGGACATGGCACATCGGCACGGCAATGCCGCAATCCGAACAGCCAGCTATGCCTAGCTACAGCTATAGACTCAGGCGAGTTCTGCGCGGTGTGCCTCGGCCACATCAGTGATGCAGAGCAGAAGCAGAGTGGAGCATTGTGCAAAGTTCCTCACAAGTGCCTCACTGTCCAAGGTGCTCGAGACTTCGTCACAGTCGCCCGGCAGCTGTTGGTCTGCGTCCTGGGCACCTGCTGAGCTATTTGCACCATCAACGTTGTCGAATCAATGCGCGAGCTTTGTGAAAGCGAAACCCTGTTACCAATACCATTCAAAACCACATCTTGCAAACACACTGCATACTTTCAATCCCTGAGCATGAACTGTCACCAAGGCCCAAGCTCAAGGATGATTCGACCTCTTCGATCGTCTCACCCACCAGCGCTGCGGCTTCCAGATCTGCGCCTCCCGTGCCACTAAGGCCGTGCTCTGCCCGAAGAGTGGAGGCCCTTACCCATCTTTCGATCCCACTAACTCCAACCGTTTTCAATATCAGCACTGCACTGTTGCATATAGCTGATTGCCAAAGCTATGTTCAAAGGGTTCGAAAGTTTCTTCGTGGGTCAGCTCGCTCCCCCTCGACGCATCTTCTCTGGAGCTTCTTGGTTGGTGCGGTTGGTGTTGAGGCGGCTTCCTGGGTCGGCGTTCCGATTTCAGGGCTCCCTGGAGGCCATGGGCCCTCAGCCGAGGCATGCAGTGTTTGATGGCTCGAGCACTTCACCCCCAAGAGGCTGATCCAAGGCCCCGCTCGGGCCTTCCTGCTCCATTGGGCAGGATTCTGTGGGTGCGATGCCGACAAAGTCTTCGGAGCCTCTGCAAATCTCTTCAGTCAAAGGCTGGCTCTCCTTTTCCTACAGCTGGTGCTGCTTAGGGATGTACACTCTGGAGCAGAACGAACAGCTTGGTCTCCAATTCACACCGCAGACGCTGCACACATGGCCGAGCCTGTTGCTTGGACTTTTTGGTCTTCCTTTTTGACTGAACCTTGTGTCGCGCACAAGCTGCAGTTCCGCCTTCTTGGCTCTCAGCTTGTAATGTCAGCAGGACAGGGAGACGGAGCAGCCCTACTTGCATCCATGGAAGCCCCACTCGCGCCCCTGCATCTGCATCCATGGAAGCCCCACTCGCGCCCCTGCATCTTCTCCAAAGCCCAGAATGCGCTACACAGAAAACTGGCCAGGAGCTTCCTGACAAACCTGGAACACCCGAAGATACCCGAAGTGAATTGCTGAACCTTGGGAAACCTTGACATAAACCTTGGCAAATGCGGAGCCTTTTCGTCCAGGCTCGAAAGACTTTGCACCTTGATCACCACTTCTTGGGAAGTATGGGGAAGCGGATTGGTTCTTTCGCGCTGACGGCCGAGGTCTATCAGCAAAACCCGAATTCGAACATTCCCGAATAACCGCCCTCTCTCAGCGACTTTAACTGTTGTTCCCAATAGGTTCCAACCCGATGAAGACTTGCCAAGCTTGGTCCACTCGGGTCGACTACGATATCTCTTATCTTGAGCTGAAGCAGAGAAGAAATATTCAAAACATGTTCTCCAGCTGGAACACTGACTCGGCGTGTGAAGTCAAAGGCGGGGCTGTCGGTGCAAAGCACCTAACGGTGGGAGAACCCAATGTCCGGCACAGGCTCGAACAGAAAGCGGCAAACGGAAGATAATGGTGGGAACGCTGGCAAAACAGTGAGGCCTCCTTCGCGACCACCGTAATGCAACGAGAGATCTGCGTCACGTCGTACACTGCCAGGTCCTCGACCTTGGCCACAAGAATGGAAGCCTTCTCTTGTCAAGAGCCATTGGGACTTGCAAGAAATTCTGAAGGCTCTGGTGGACCTGTCTTCCATTGCCGAGCTGCGCGAGACTTGATCTCAGCCGCGTCTGCCTGTGCCAGCCGACTTCATCGACTCTTTGCACGAAAGCGGAACGGTTGCTAGGCCAAGCGAATCGAAAAGAAGAGCATTTGCCCACACTGCACATACAAAGCTCTGGTGCTGTTACCCAAGAAACCAAAGATCTGCGGGAACCAAATTTCTGCAGGCGACTGTTGACTTTTGTACATCCAGGTGTCACGCTGGTGCAAGTACGCGCCTCAGAAAGCTCCGCGCTAATACCTCAGGTGAATACAGATATGGACACGATACAGAGATAGACACATAGATAGGGCATCTGCGTGCTCCTTCCGACTCCTTCCTGTGACTGTGCCGAAGCGACTTCATAAAGCCGGCCCTAGGAGCATACACTCCCTTGGAAAAAGATGTCAAAATGTGAGTTGGCAATACTTGGCACTCTTGGGCCCAGACTCTGCAATGCCTGCGCTACCTGAGCCATCGCTGTGGTTCAAAGTACCGCTGCTTTGCTCGATTTGTGCCCATGATGTGTGCATGATTTGTGCATGGAAGTGGCGCGCTGCGCCTGCGGGATGGGTCCGAGGGTGAGGATTATCTCCTGGATAGCGAGATAAAGCTCGAACTGCCGTGATCAATGAACTTCTCGACTAGTCGTCAACGCTCCTGGATGCCCAGGGACCGTAACAGCAGGGAGACGCCTGCAGGTGATCATATTGGACGTTCCCGCACTGCGTGCCCCGCGGTCCAAAGACATGCCAAGTCCCCAGGCCAACGCAGCCCAGTGTGAAGAGCACAGAGCCAAAGAGAAGCACAATGACCAACATGGTAAAGATGTCGCGGAAGCTGAGCATGTCGTCTGAGTCGGGATAGATAACAGCTCCCAGCCATGCAGCGATGCGAGCTGAGTCTCAAAGGCAGCGTCCGTACCAAGTCCTGCGCGCCTGAAAGCTCCGGGAGACCCATTGCAGCGGACACCACGAGAAGGATGACGCACGCGGAGATCCAGCCTCGGCATACGGACAGAAAAGCGGTGTTGAAGAAAGTGAGGCGAGTCCAACAACACACATGTATGTATACATACATATATACATAGATATACATATATACATATAGAAACTTGCTGACCTTTCATTTTTCATGACGGGTCGCAGTCCAAAGCATTGATGAGTGGAGGCTTCCATGGCCAGAACGTGGTTTGCACAATCATGAAGACGACAAGGATGACGGACATGGACACGATCCTTGAGCGACAACTGAGACACGAGGCCATCGAGCAATACTTTAAGCCTTTGCTTTGCGGATGGTGGGCATGTAATGGTGCCGGATGCAGCACGGCTCTGACTTAATTATGTATACACAAATCACCGCATGACATTCCTCTGACATTCCTCTCCGATCGTCTGAACAGGGGGGTAGTCTGTAGCCAGGACGACTGGCAGGTTGAGCAGGGAGCCGCGCACCAGCAGTGGGACCCCATACCACCAGCCGTCCAGGCGGAATCGCGCAAGCAGGAAGCGAAAGGCGCTGACCTCAGCGCTGGACTGCTCTGCCCCTCTGCCGCTGAGTTTGCATGTAGGGGGGTCGCTCCATCGCTGCTTTACGCTCGACGGTCTGCTTCCCAGCAACTCTCTCAGAGAGGCCTTGGGAGCTCCAAAGCGGCACCTGCAAACCCAAGAGAAGAAGGGAGCACGCAAAAAAGAAGGGCACGCACGCACGCACACGCACACGCACACGCACACGCGCACGCGCACGCGCACGCCCACGCGCACGCCATGCACACGCACACGCGCACGCGAACGCCCACGCACACGCACACGCACACGCACACGCGCACGCGCACGCGCACGCGCACGCACACGCACACGCACACGCACACGCACACACACACACACACACACACACACACACACACACACAGAGATCAGGATGAAAGACGAGGATGTGTTTCTCGACGGCGAGTCATGAGTGTTGTGTTGAGTTGCGGGTCGATGCAGTCCAAGTTCAGGCCTGGATGGCTGCCCATGCGCACAGGCAAAGAAAGCCCAGAACGCCGAAAGCCAGCAACGCGACACCAAATGCCTTGGCTGAGACATGCAGACATGCGATACACGGCCCCAGCGTCGAGGTGTAGAAAAAACAGGGGAACTCCACTTCTTAGAAGATATCTCGATTCATCAGCAACTCCACATTGACAGCAACAAGGCAGTGCAAGGCAGTGGAGCCCTCAACAGTGACCAGGAGCAAGCATCGTAGAGTGCTCCGAAGTCCCACAGAACCTGAGATCTGGGGAGCGCATGGGAGCGCGCTAGGCAGAGCGCCGGCCTGGACACTTTGATAACACAGTGACTACTACAGTGTGAAGAAAGGGTTCTTAGTCGAGCAGCACATCAGGGAACTTGAGCAAGCTGTGACGGCCATTTGGATGACCTTTGCTTGGAGTTTTGTCAGTTCCTGAAACATCCATGAAACATGCCAGCTCATGGCAAAACAGCGGCATTTCTGGGCTCAGACTTAGATACAGTTAAATTCATTCAGCATGCCACAGTACGATCAGCACCCAGCACGCGTTGAGTAACCGGGGCTCCCACTGTAACAGGTCATCGGTACCATGGCGGTTACACTCATAGTGGTGTAACCTGACGACGTGACAACAGCTTCGCCATGCCCAACTGAACCCACAATAGACGGCAACTGCAACAAACGGTAGAACTGGTGTAGAACTGTTGCAGCCTTGTCTGTGAAACCCTGTCGCAAAGCGTCCCTCTCATCGAATGCGCCCAGTCACCTATCTGCAAGAATTGCCCGATGAGATTCAGGGACTTTGAGGCCGACCAGCGCCACTTCTTCGGCAAAAACTTTGACAAGGCAAGACCTGAGAAAAGAGGGTCTGTCTGCAACTGACACAAGGGTCTCAACACGAGTCATGGCTAGGGATATCTAGGGCGAGATTCTGGTTTGGCTCAAGGAGGACTCCTGCCATAAATGTATTTGTTATCTAATCCTGTCATATATGTATTTGTTATGTAATGTTGGACTCGCTTTAGTATCCAGGGCCCCCCCCCCCTCCCCCCCAAACAATTTTGGGGTTTTCGGAAATCATCTATAAACTGGGTTGGGATCTGTGGGTAGGGGTCGAGGATTGAGGGGAAGCCTTGAGGCTTCAGGGTCTAAGCTTTCCAGGCTTTGTGGCTCCCTGGCCAGGGCGGCTGCGGATTCATGCGCGTAACCGAAACAGTTGACTCAAGCGAATAGCGAATCAGGGCAGCTCGTGGGCTACTCCCTTGGAAAATTGTTTGGGGGCCTGTTTCGTAATGAAATTCAAAAATGAGCTTAAATAAAGCCGGACACCAGAAATTCCGGAGTTTCTTAGTTTTTGGCTCCCCGGCCCCACACCCTTCATCCCCGGGCCGCGAACTTCGCACAATTGTGGACCACCCTCATCAACGGGGGGGTCCCCTATAGGTTTTTCGGGAAAAACGCTTAATAGCCCCCCACTTTACTAAACTGGGTCCGTCCAACATTATACAGAGTGGCCAGAGCCGGCTTTTGCCAGAACTTGCTTGCTCGGACTGCGAACCTGAAAAAAGAAAGCACGTCAGGAAACAGCTGGTAAGCTGGCGGAAGGGGGGGGGCATGACTGAATCGGGATGGTGGCGCCGAGCGCCTCTTTGTACAGCAAGCCTGCTCCGCGATGCTCCGCGATGCTCGGGGCCGCGGCTTTGCCAAAAAGACTACAAAACTGCCTTTTCCTTTTTAAGTCGAGGCTGGGGATGCGGCAAAAGAGGATGCCCACCACAACGGCAGGGAAGACCATCACTGTGGCCAGGTACCGGCGAACCGGATCAGGACTCGCCACGCACGGGAAGCCTCAGAGGCAAAGGCTTCGGGCACCTCCCCCTAGAAGCGACACTCTCGTACATATTCACAACCTTATTATTCTTTGTCGTTGTTCTCTAGCTTCGGGTGCTGAGTCTCTCTGATGCTTTGTGGAGGTTGTCGGCTCAAGGAAGCCGAGGCACCCATCAAGTCCAGATCCAGGATAAACACTTGAAGTGCTTGAAGGAGGTCCTTTCTTGTGGCATGACAGATCACGCACTGCTTTTTGCACTGCTTCGCACCGCTTCGCACTGCGAAGCACTGCTTGACTTGTTCAGTCATCAAGGTCCACATACGCTTTGTCCGAACTTCTGCCCAAGGATCCTGTACGTTGAACGGAAAGTCCACGGTCATGTTTCCAATGACACCTTTTCATCCCCTTCATGCTGGCACATTCGGCGTTTGCTCATGATAGCAAGCCGCTGCTGACCGTATTCTTGGGTTCTGGCCTACTTTTTGTAGAGTCATCACCATCATGCCCATTGCAGTGGTCGTCGTTAGCATTACAGACCTTAGAACTCTCGATCATGTTTTCACCCGGGCGACCCAGGCGACAAAAAGAAACACATCGTGGAAAAGCCCCGGTGCATCCATCATGCACCGCAACTTCTTGAACAGCTGAAACTTTGAGAAAAGTCCGTGAGGAGTGCTGGGCTCCGGACGCCTTTGCGGACATGGGCGAGTTGAGCAGGTAGTACGCCAGCACCAGCCTCGACACTACCGGCAGGCAAGGAGGAAAGGGCTCGGCACGATGCGGGATACAGCGAGTCATAGTTTATGGACAGTGTAGAAAATGAAGGAGGGCCACAACAACCTGAATAATTTGTGCAATAAGTTGTGGGCTGATGCTTGCTAAGCATGGCCCGGGCCGCACTTGGCATCTTGAAGAATAGGAGACTTGTGCTCAGACTGCGCTGCAAAATGGCATGGCAAGCTCTTCGCATGTGTGAAAATTTGCGGGGGCCCAACCCGACAAGGCCGGCCACAAAGCCCAAAACGAAGATGTCCTCGTCACTCATCTCTGACCGCCAGATAGCACAGGTAAACTTGCGCACATGGAAGGCTCTGAAAATCAATGCCGTGAGAGAAAAATCAATGCAGTGAGAGAGCATGCAAGCAAGTTCCAGGCGCCTTCCGCGAGGACACGCAGATCACACACTCCTGGCGCAAGGAAATGTGCAAACAATCGTTGCGAGAAACTAATTAAGCCCGCAGATGCCCGCAGTTTGACATCAGGCAATCATGCGTTCATCTTTGCATCTTGTCTCCCTTCATAAAATCTGGTTTTGGGGAGGGTCTGTAATGTCAGCAGCCTCTGTCTTAGGGAGCGCGTGGCTGCTCTTACCAGCATCTCACCAGCGCTGTTCAGAGGTCACGGGATGTAGAAAACTCTGTTTCTGCAAGCAGTTACTGTACCCTGGACCTCGCCCGGCCGGTGCAGGTCTTGAAGCAGAAGGCAATCACATCGTGTGGCTGCTCGTGTTTTCTTGCTGCCGGTCTCTGCAATAACATATTGTCGGTCATACCTGCTGTTTGCTGTTGACAACATCTGCGTACATCTGCCGAATCCAGGCCTCACCATCAAAGTACTCTCTTTCCCCGCACCTGAGTCCAAAAGCCGTCTGTCCAAGCCCAATTTGACACAAACCTCCTGCTCTCTTGTCAAGGCACGCTGCACAGGGTAGAGCTGAAAGACCTGGCAAGCACGGATACATAAATTTGTTTGCTCACAAGCCCTCCCAAAGTCCCGCCTCCCAAGCAGGTGTTGGGAGGTCCCCCCGGACAGTGCGACGCTGGGATGCACTTGAAGATCTCTAGTGGCTCCTCCATGCTGCTGAAATAACCTGAGGCATGCGGGCGACTGCAATCACCTGGAAAAACGTTGTGGTTTTGCGAACTTATCCGCGAGCCTGCACGGATCTGTGGCGTGAGCTCGTGGGCAATGGTGGAGCCATTCAGTAAGCCTAAGCTTGAATCCAAGTATGGACAGGCCAATGGCCCACGTATGGCCCCTTGACACCAAAGGCTACAAAGCTAACTCTAAAAAACTGTAAACAACACGCGTCGATGCCTCTTCAAAAAAATGCAAAAGGGTGCTGCTTATAGCACAGTCATTTTGTTGGGACGGGCTACCCTTGCTGCAAGCTGTCCCATATCCCCCGATAAGCAGCTTCAATTATTCTGCCATCGGGCTGCTGACACATCCTGCTTGTATCATGTCTTGCATTGCTTCACCAAGATTAGAACCTGGATTTCACAAAAAGCATCCAGATGCTTTCGGTTGGTGCAACTGGCGCCAGTAGCCAAATCCACAGTTGAGCCTTGAGGGTGCCCCCAAGTCATGAGCCCTCTGCTCTCGAGACTGCTGTGTTTGCTGTGTTCTCAACAGCCCCTGTGGGAAACCTTCCCACACGTCTCGCAATTCGCGAGCACGCACCTTTCCCGGACACTCTTTTGTGGGTCGGCAAAGGGGCGACACGAAAGAGATGAGACGGCTTGAATTTTCGCTTGAATCACCTTGCAACTTGCAGCCCAGGTGCTCGACACCGTCGACAAAACGGGGCAGCTCAAACCTGGCCAGGGCTGGGGGGTTTCATGCTGGTTTCGCAGGAGCGGACCTTTATCTTAGGAGACCCTGACTTAAAGAGCGTTGGTGCGAGGATTTCGAACCGCTTCAAGGACCTTCTGGACAAGCTTGGCAAGAGGAGTTGTGGCCCACGTTGATGGTGCCAGGGAGGCAGCCACACTCCTTGTGCATCGTCTCTGCTTCGATTTCTATGAAGTGAAGTGGGAACACTCGGACTGTCTGCTCGCCGGTCGGTCGATTTGCTCGAACACAACACCTAGACACAATCGAGGAGAAAAAACCCTGCATCTACACACGAGTGTCAGCACTGCTTTGGTGATTTTCATGTTGAATTCACTTGAACCCAGTCCGTCCTGCTCTGACAAGGAGCCCAGTCCAAGGGTCGTCGTGCCATTCCCACAGAAGTTGCAAACTGACTTGCCCTGGCATCTCCAGCAACCACCAGCAATCGGTGAAAGTCACTGCTGCATCATGATCCCCAGTTGCACAAGTGCTGGGCACTCGATCGCAGAAACAGGCGAACTTCCATTGAGGAATGCCCACGGCCGTTCGGGATATCTACGGCACCTTCTCATCTTGGAAGCGGCCCATTGGACAGCGCTTGCAGTCGAGCGCACCCTCCTTCGCAAGGTCGAGAACTGGCATGAAGCTTAGCGATGAAGGTCATTGAGGATGGATCAGAGCAGGTCTCAAGATGTCTCAAGACAACAACACGCAGTGAGTTTCTCCAAACACGCTGCAACAGCTGCGAGATGATGTCTCTCCTCGTCTTGGTAATTGCCTTCGCTGCATGGTTCACAGCTTGTGGATGCTCCTGAAGCGACACGCTCGCGGGCCACGGGCATGCTGCAATGAGATGACTGCAAGACAGCAAGCTCCGTGAATAAGTGCTCTCAAATGTCAACCATACGGCTCCTGATTTTTGGAATGTACCCGGGCGGCACAGTTGACAGATGTGGGTCGTGCCTGCAGCTGTGTTGTCAAGTTCTCGATGCACTTCTTCTCACCAATGAACAAAGTGGCAAAGCTGCATAGGATTGTACACCCGTCAGCACAGCAGAAGCTTCTGATCGGCGGGAGGTTTACTCCTTCATTCGCCGTCGATTCACGCTGGCAGGCTTGAGGTTCCCGCCCTTTGCATCTTGGAGCTCTTGAGAGTAGCTGCCGCTCTCACACGGCCTGCCGAGCACATAGACATACATATGTTCCAACAGGTTCCAACATTCCAGAAGCAGTTTCGCGCAAGCAGCTTCACAAAGAGAAATGGCATGCTACTGTCAAGTTCGTTCGGTTGTATGGTTCTAGAAGAGGTATCCGACTTGGTGGGAAGTTCCACCTGCCCCGAAGCGTTGTGGATCATACCCAGGAACACCACATGGAAGCTTCTCAATTAGGTTCCCTTTTTCGGTCCCTATAGTACGGCACCTCATACAAGGACCCCCAAAAGGGACCCAATTTAGAGAACGACCCGCATAGCAAAGCAACAACCCCCCATACCCTTAGACCCTAATTGCCGAGAAGAAGGATCTCATGTGACGAAGGTTTCCATCTCTATTCGTATCCTGGCCTGCATGCCAGCTCCGCAGTGCCATCTCGATGTGCTACCTGTTAGCAGCCAGAGAAGTTGAGAGAGGGTGCGCGGTTGAGGCTGCCAGTTCGATTCCAGCTTGGAGTAGCCCATGATGTGGCATTGCTGTTGAGCTCCAGGCATAGCCGCTGCTCGCATCGAACAAGCCAAACCCTGCAAAGCAAGCCGTCTCGCCCACAAGCCTTGGCTGAAACAAGTTCGCAACAGTCCACTCAGCCTTCTGCACTGTTGAATGGTTCCGCTGCGGCAGAATGCATGCAGACCATCGCCAAGCAGCCAAGAAGACCAGATGTCAGGGTTTGCCGTCAACCAGCGGCAAGCAACAGTGGCGGGTGAATCATTGCCTTCGGAAATGTGAACCGCACACGGCATGATTACGAGAAATGCCGACATGATACAGCCAAAGCTCTACATATCTGTACATGTTGAAGATTCAGGAGAGTGAAGGTTGCGCCCAGAACTTCCAACATTGTGAGAGACGGGTCACTCATAGACGGGTGGGGAAGAGCCCTTCCAGTGAAACTCGACATCATCCGATTGTTTGGGGCAGAGCTCAACCCAGTAACGAGAAGGCGTTGCTGTGTTGTCTTGTCGAGGCTACCGACTAGCAGACGACAGTACGGCTTCAAATACGTCTGCTCCGACAAAGCCAAGCTCTTCAGAACGTGCAACCTGAATGAAGGCCGTGGAGAACCAGCCATCGCAACTGACATGAAGGTCGTTCGCTCTCAGGAGCACTCAAAGAGGTCTAAGCTCATGGCTTGTTTTCATGTCCATCATCATGTGATTCACGTCATCCACACTCCACCTCTGACAGACAGAAGCGCAAGCATAAAGCATCAAGTGGATGACCAAGCCGGAGCGCCCGAACGAGGCTGACTTTTGAGCTCACGACCGTCTCAATTGGGGCCATATGATGCCTTTTGGAAGGGGCTACAGCGATCTACAGCGGCTGGGGCCGCCTCATCTTCTGAATGAGGTCGAGGACCGCTGGAGCAAGATCTACCAAGTTCTGGCTCACAAGCTTCTCCTTGGACATCAACGCTCTCGTCACTAAGAAACCCATGGTGATGCCTTCAAGAGCAGGACCAAGCCCAAACCATAGCGAAACCAAAAAAATAGAAGACAAAGTGATTCACGTGCCATGGTCTATTTGCGGTCTTCTTTGAGGTTTAGTAATCCTGGGTTTGCTGGACAATTTTGCATGAGAGAAAAAGTTCAGTCAACCTGCATTGAAATCACACCGTAGGAAATGCAGACTGAAGTATCTGTCGACGCCCAAATTCGATTGGGGTAAAAAATCCACCCACTTCCTTTATCCTCCTCCCTGACGGCAGCAATGGCTTTCGTCTGGTCCAGCTACAAAATGAACCCCTGTTTTCTTCTTCGGAACTTGCACGGACCTCCTATGGACGATGGGTCTCTGCCCTCTAAATCTGTGGCTGCTAAAGCACATGTGCTTAGGACCATCTGGCCTGCATCAAAAATTGTCATGCTTTCGTCTATTTTCGGTCTTGATACGCCCATCGCCTGCGAAGCACCCGAAACTTTCCAAAGCTCCCTTGACCCTTGCCCACGGCCGGACCTGTGGGGAGGGGTGCGGTGCGGCAGGGTCCGTGGTGGGCTGGGGTTTAGAACCCACACGGCACACAAAAGGCCCCCGTGATGATGAAAGTTAGAACTCTATGTTCAGCCACTTTCGTGGCGAGGAACTTGAGAATCCAAGGGGCAATTTTGACCTGTTCCGGAGCAGTGCGAAGGTCGCCACTGAGCCATGCTGCCCTGCAATTGACAGGCGTGTCACGCAGAAGCCTAACTCAAATCTAACAAGATTGACCGATGCGCTTGTCTTTGGACCCTGGCCTGTCGTATCGGGGAAATCGGATCTCCACAGGGCTGAGATCCAGAAAGGCGTCGTCCGGCCTAAACCACATGAACAGGCTCCGCACCTGGCCAAGGAGGTTTGCACTTCCAGTACTTCGTGGCTCGTCAGTCATTACCATTCTCCAATGCTTTGCGGCTCCCATCTGACAGTGTTGGATTTACCCCCGAGCCCATCCAAGCGTGTGCCCCATCATTCCCTGAGTTGGTGCCATCTGGCGACGCGGCCTGGAGTGGAATTTGGCGGTAATCTTCCGAAGTTGCTGCGACACCCAGAGCCAATGGCATGCTGAATGAGGTAGCTTTCCTCGGAGCATTGCTTGAAGCGCTGCTAGTACCCGCTGCATTCTCCGCGCTGTGCCGTGCTTAGTGCCTGAGTGCTAAGGCAGGTACTGCATGACTTCCTCAACGGCCCAACCGGTGCCTCCTGGCAAACGCTCTCAAAGCAGCTTTGAGTTCATCCAACATGAGACGAGGTGCAGTCGTGAGCACTTTCCCTGCTCTGAGCATGCTACGCTCAGCAAGGCCAAGACTTTTGGCCAGTAGCCGAGCACCGCCCAAACTACCAGGTATGGTTCCGGCTACACGCAGCCTGCAAACCCGGCACGGCACCGCGCCCAAGAGTATTCGCGACGCATACATGATGAGGGAATGGGAATACGTGTCTTGAGCTGACTACTCCCAGCTCGCCCTGTTCGGTTCTTGTTGGCCCAGGTCTCTTTCTACTCCCCGCCACAAGTACTAGTGCCTCAGATGCAACATTGGATTTCCGATTTATGGCAGTGACGGCAGTGGCGGTGAGAGAACTGATCGGGCGCCTTGTTGTTGGAGCTATCTGGTGCTGCAATGGGGCAAACAAGAGCGCCGGCACGCAACTGACTAACAGCAAAAGGTTCATTGTTTCACTGCCCCACTGTGTCACTACAATGGCAATGGCATCTTGCCGGTTCGACTGCTACTAGTACCAGTACTTTCTGGCATTTAGCTTCACAATGTGCAGCAGAACTCCTGGTGCTACTTGATCTATAGCGAGCGCTGCTGCTTCTCCGGTCCGGACGCCAACTTTACTCATCAGGAACATGCAAGTCATTGCCCAGCGTTCTATATTGTGCTTGGCCGCAGTCCTTTTTCGCTGCATGCTTTCGAGCTCAGCAGCTTACCGATTCAAGATTGGGCTTCAATGATTTCTTGTTTTTCGGCGGCCGCAGCGCTCAATCTTTGGCCGTTCATGAATAGAACTTGTCGGTGATTGTGTAGCCTTGTTGTGCCCACCGCATTGACGTGAAGGCTGCCACCAAAACGGAGCGAAGTTTCCACGCGTCATTCAAGCCTTTGGGAAAGCATAATAATCGGCGCAACGCGCGCTTGCCAGTTATCTCTGGGGCACATCCGGCTTTGAACGCTGGAAACCAGCTGGAAGCCCGCTCGGCCCGCTCTAAGCTCTGGTCAGGCTGACAGCGCTGGACGTCTAGTCGCCCCCCCCCCAGGCTATACCCCCCCGTTTCATGCCGACCCCCTCGCTCCCAGCGAGCGCAAAGCGCACGGGGCAATCATCCCTAAATTGCAACTATTTTCTGCGTTCGCGAGAGGGCTACCAAGGAGCCATCGTGGTTGGGAACTATCTACAAAACACGTCAAGGCAAGTCTACGAGCAAACTGACAGGTGAGCGATGCGCTATGCAGCATGTTCTCCACATGTGCGGCCATGGGCACTCGTCTACAGTGCTTGTACATTGAACTGCGTGCCTGTCAGCACAGGAACGCAGAGCGCCACGTTGTGCCGGCAAGCTGGAGCCCGCCAAAAATAACCGTCCTGGTGTCGCAACAAAGTGCTCATCGGAACACATGTACCAATGCAGGATTGCCGCTGAATCAAGCTTCCAGATTGCAGGACCGGTTCCAAATTCTACTGGACCTTAAGCACGACAAACCATGACATGTCAGACACTGGCAAAGCCATCCGTTGCTACGTCATAGCACTACTGTACACTTCTCACATGCAGCTAGCAATCACATGAGAATCGCACAAACAACGTTTTGATTCGGATGTGGCAGCCTGGCATCGAGCCATGAGCAAGCCGCCGTTGTCCTAGAGCGAATCTGGAACGGATACTTGAGTGCAGCTGTCAACGATTGTGAACGCATGACGACTATGCGCCTCAACCCCGTCAATGTCATTGGTGACCTGCGCAAATGACATCCCTTCAAGGTGTCGGCCAAGCGCTCAGCGCACGTGAATAAATTTGAGTCAAACCTACTGTGCCGAGATGTCTTGACAAAGATGGTATGATTTCTCTTTGCACCTGAGAGTTTCCTTTTTTCACGGAGTTCACCCTCGCTTCCAGCACTCCTTCCCAAACGTGGCAAGTGTATGCATGGCTTTCTGCTTCATCCTGAAAGTTGCAACGGCCGCCATGCCCCGCCATGCCAAAGAGATGCGCGTGAACCAGTCGACGACGACATGGTATTCCAGGGCTCAGAGCCTGAGCAGCCTCAAGAAGAGGCAGCAAACCAGCCTCGGCACTTTTGCTCGTGAGCTATCAGCACACGGCGGTCTTCCGGTGGATGCGGCCACTAATCAACATCGTTTGGCACATTCCGAACTTGCCTTGCACGGGCGTTGTCCTCCAACAGCTGCCCAAAACAAGTCGACCAAGGACACGAAATCAGCACGAAGGCGTGTCTTCAACAGCCATGCTGCACAAGGAGTGAGCGACGCGTAGAAGTGATAAGAACAAGCGTCCCTTTTGTTAACTTTGAGGGCTGAAATGGAGGCCCTGGGGAGTGAACGAAGTGAACGTGTTTTCTGCCTTTGTAACCTATGAAACCATTCGTTCCTCAGCGCTTCGAGTGCCCATTTAAGCGAACGCTACGCCGCTACACAGTTTGAAGCATACTCCTCGATGTTTTTTCTGCCTTTAGGAGGGCTTCCAAAAACCTCCATCCCCAAAATCGTCCTAGGACATTGTCCTGGCTTGTTTTCCTGGCCTAGGGACGGCTTCCAAAGGCCTTGTATGGCCAATCTCGAAAATCGTCCTCAAACATTGATTGTCCTAGGAATTCTCGCTTCTCTCAAGCCCAGACCCCGAACATCGTCCTAGGATATTTTTCTGGCTTTAGGGGGGCTTCCAAGGGCCTTGTAAGGCCAATCCCGAAAATCGCCCCAGGACTTTCGGTTTTCCCAAGGCCCAGAGAGCTTTTGCTGGTGTTGTCCAAGGCATGGTGGATGATGATGATGATGATGATGCTGATGGTGCTGCTGATGATGGTGATGATCATGCTGATGATGATGATGATGATGATGATGATGATGATGATGATGATGCCCAGAGCTGGAACGCGAACGCAAGCACGCCTGGACGCGAACACGAAAGCATCTCAAACGTGCGTTTGGGGGATGCTATGCGGAGCTAGCTCCTCGGCGAGCGCCCCATACCCCAAGAGTACAGGGCAGCAGACGTCGCCCAAGACGAGACAGCAGGCGCGGACATGGGTTAAAGGCGGGTCAGCTAAGAATCAACCGCTAAGGCCGGAAACGGGCAAGGATAAACGGAGCTCTAGAGGCTGGAGCTGCGTGTGGCGGGATGCCCCGGCCTATGTGACAACAGCCGTGCAAGCAGGTGCTATTCTTCATAGGGAAGGGGCATTGCGGCAGTTTCAGCCGTCTTCTGACCAATGATGGCCAATGCCGAGCTGACCAGGTCCTACCACAAGGGCTCATTGAAAAAGCCAAGCCGCGCCTCCACGTAGGTCTGCATATTGCGGCTCTGCACAAAGCGCGTATCGCGACCTAAGATGCTGTTTGCGTCATCTCCTAAATTTAAATACAGCTCACCGGTTCACCGGTTCACCGGTGTCATTGTCAGAAAGTTATCATGGGCAACAGAAACGTCTGAAATTTCTCTGGGAAAACCGTGAAGCAAACTAGTACATGTGTGTTTATGGAGATGCAGTCCCGCCCCATGCCGGCCGCTTGCCCGCACGATAAACCCAGTCACCCTTTTCATGCTCATGAATTGTGGCAGCGGCTCAAACGAATGCTGCCCAAGTAGCACCGCCGCACCTGTGAGAGGTTTACTGCGCCGAGGTTGTCAAAATAATGTGACGGCTCGTACCTGGGTTTGCAGCCACAAGCGACGGTCGACAGATTGGACACATGTCCTGAGGCTGAAACCAGGAGGAATTGTATGCCCGATAGAACTCCAGCGGTATGCCTATGTGACTCCGAGCGCGTGTCTTGTAAGCAGCTTCGTTTCAGATTGAAAGCGATTTAGACAGCAGAGCTGTCGAAAGCGATTGACACTGGCAACACACTTTGGCTGGCGGCTGCGGCAGGCCTTCTGAAATTGAGGCATTGTCCAAGATCCGTTTCGGCAGGTACATTGACATTGAGCCCGTATAACCAATACCTCGCAGGCTCGGCGGCGCATTACTGGTACCTTGTGGCCGACAAACATTGCACTGAGGGTCGTTCTGCCCAGACTTGTTGGAGCAGTTGTTGGGTAATCCTTGTCACTGTATCTCAATCAAGATCAGAATGGCGAGCGCAGACTTTATGCAAGCGCGTGTCCTTCTGAATTTGGTCATACCTCAGGGTTAGGAGACATATCATGGGCAAGAAGTCTTAAAGAAAAAAGGGTTCTGAGGCCATAACTCTACTTGGTAGAGGCTGACCCATGCTTCAAGATGAAGATGCATCCTTGTGGTCGTTGCCCCACATCCTGTGATGTGAGTTTTACATCCCTGAAGGAAGAGAGAGAGAAAGAGAGAGAGAGAGAGGCAGAGGGAGAGGGAGAGGGAGAGGGAGAAGGGAGAAGGGAGAAGGGAGAAGGGAGAAGGGAGAAGGAAGAGGGAGAGGGAGAAGGGAGAAGGGAGAAGGGAGAAGGAAGAGGGGAGAGGGGAGAGGGGAGAGAGGGAGAGAGGGAGAGAGGGGGAGAGGGGGAGAGGGGGAGAGGGGGAGAGCTCTGCTTCTTTCTGTCCTCGGTCTGTGACCTGGCTTGGTGTCGTGCACCCTGCCATGGCGTAGAATCCATCCACGGTGTTTCCTTGCAATACCGACACTTCCACGAATCTACACTCGATCTTCTCGCACCGTGCGCGCCTCCCGCTGTTGCCAAGGTCACGTTAACACCTAACTGCTCCTCGATAAGGATTTGCGACACCTTGGTAGATGTTGCAGCTCAGAGTGAACTCGCTCGAGGCTTCTGCTAAGCTTCCTAGGCCTCTGGGCTCCTCGCGCCACTTAGCAGATGGGCAGCTGGCCTTCGGCTGCTTGATGCGGCTTGCCAGGGCTGTGATCCAGACGATGCTGTCTCAGCACTCTTCGAAAGGCAGCACTCGGACTGATGTGTCTTGGTCTTCTGCCAATCGCCCACGGCGATGCCCAGAGGGAATACATCGCCATCCTTGACAGCAGCTCCCAAGATATGAACCATGAAAAACTGCAAGATCACCAGAGAAGCAGAGAAACCTTGGAAAACCCGGCACAAGCACTTCTGTTTCTGGTGAAGCCACAAACTTACGACAAACCTGAAAGACCAAGTTCGGGCCCCGCAAAGATCAACTCAGATTTCCGGGCAGCCTGCACCGTACATAAGTCATAGGCAAGAGCACAGGAACCAGCGCATCCCCTTCATATCGAGTCCTATTGCCCCTGATGGGTCAAAGGCGGACGAGAGGCGGCCACAAAGTTTGCCACCTGTTGAGGTTCGACGCCATTTTCAAAGCAACGCGCACGAGCCGAACGTGCTATCAGAGCCTTGGATACAGGTGCAACGTGACACATCATGCAGCGCGCTGCTCACCAGCTGGATATGATGCATCAAAGGGGCGATGTAGGCGAGAACACCTATGGTGTGCATCTCCCGCCATTCGGCGGTGATCGCACATGGCCCCAGCTTCTTGGTGTTTGAACCGAGACCTCTGTGTCCCTTGTCACTGAACGAAGCCACGACCAATTAAGAATCAACTCCCCCCTCCCCCCACTTTTGACCTCTCAGCTGTGTCTCTCCCAGCCTCACGGGGGTAAAACACTCTGCTGGCAGACAGGATCAGACGGGAATGCCACCGCACGGCGGACCACACCAATGCAGCCGCAGTATCTTCATGTTGCTATCAGCTGATGTGGCGCGCAGTTCTCTGAGATCCTCTTCTGCTTTTTTGTTTGTAAGCATGCCTCGCTTGCCTCTCACTTGTCAGCGGCCGGCTCCTCAGGCTTTGCTTCCGAGGGCTCCGAGGGAGCCAAACTCCTGCCCGCACAAGTCGGAAACTAAGCTGTGCAGTGGTGCACGGCTTCCGTCCCATCAGCGCGTACTGCACTGCAAGTCAACACAGCTACTCTACTGACCCTACTCCATAAAGGCTGTTGGCAACATCGCCGGCCAAAAAAGCGCACCTGCGCACCCACAGGACATTTGCAACCTCGGGGGCGCGCAAAAGACACATCACAAGTTTCGTTGACAACCGGCAAGGCGGCAAAAGGGCAAAGACCACTGCAAAGAGTCGCAGCAGGTTGAGCCGTTGAGCCATTTGAGGGTTTATGAAACGCTGCTCAGGACTTTTTTCAGGTCTAGTCAAGACCAAGAGGCAAGCAGAATGCACACGATCGTCCGAACCTGCAGTCACCCAGAGGGCAACAAAGCCATCTCAGAAGCTCAGTGTACAGTGTACAGCCGAGCAGAGTGGCTTTCTGAGGCGTTTTGCAGAAGGCCAAAAGTCTCTGCTGCGCCGGGTGGCTAAGTATGTGCAAAGGTCGTTGAAGGCACCGGAGCTAAAGCACAGCACCAAGATGAAGAGCACCAAAAACACCACCTGAAGCCGGCCAACACTTCTCTCCCTGTTCGCCATTCCTCAATTCGATCTGACTGCTTCGGTGCGGCTGGAAATGCGATCTTGTATATTCCGCTCAGCTTCTTTGCCAACTCCTGCAGTGAGCGGAAACTGCGCAACAGGCCCACGTTCCAACAGCAAACCCCCTCTTCGCTCTGTATCCGTGCTCTGTCCCCACGTCACCCCAAAACCTCCAAATTGTCAGAATTTGAATGCGCCGCTTGATGATCCGAACCGTCTTGGCTCGGTGATTGCCGGGCTGACAAAGACATCAAAGACCAAGGCACCTCGTTCTTGTACGTGTGAAAGCAGATCCTCACAAATCTGCCCAGGCATCTGGATGTCTTGCTAAAGACCGAGGCCTCCACTAGTGACTTAGTACTCAAGGCGTCAAGGGTGAAAGCATTCTTGCTCTGAGGCATCTCAAAGTAACACGACCGTGCTACACACAGTGTCTATGTTTTCCTGGCACGTGCTGGCGCCAGCAAAATATCGCAGGAAAGCGCACAGAGGTGTTTGAACCGACTCGTCTCAAATTTACCACCAAGCATCTCCATGGTCAAACTCAGGACGCTAACAGAGCCTCAGCGCATCGGCACACGGACTCAAGAACACCTTATGTGAAAGGCTTTTCATCGAGCAAGTACGGCACTCTGAAGTCAAAAACATGACGTGATGTATTCATGCCAAAAAAGCCCGTGCCGAGGAGCCTATGAGCAGACAAACCATCTCCATATAGACATCCGTCCATGAGTCTGGCACTCTGTTCTTGGTCCTCGGATCTGCAGAGCGGAGTTGCAAAGCTCAAGATACCCCTCTGCAGATGCTCCTCTCTTTATGCCGAGGGGCAACAGTGTCATTTCACCTCATCTGGACGAAGCATGGAAGTTATAGACTGACTGCTCGATATCTGCATTGAGGGACGGCTTGCAGAGGTTGACTAGCGGCACGTGTGGGCAAAGCTTCACGGTGTCAAGCATAGCAAACGGTGCACGTACCGTTTCATAGGCTCGGTGCTTGGCTTTACTCTTTTGCAGCGTTAACAGGCTGTCAGCTCACGAAGGCTTTCGCCAATCGCTCATGAAACTGCTTGCCAAGCTGCCTAGCAGTGAGATGACGCTTGACGCAACACGCGGCATGGTGAAAGCGGGGACCTCTCCAGCCACAGGCAAGGAATGCAAAAAAATTACCGAATTGTCCATCAGCGGTCATCAGTGCAGACACGGGGCCATGGGGAAAAAGAAAACGGAGTAGGATACGGCCAACAGGGTCATGGTGGGCCCAAAGATTTGACGCCCTGCTGCTCCGAAACCACCTCGGCACGAAGCCACATAAGCACACCAACTGAAACCACAGGTTCCAGCAATTTTGCGACAAGTCGCGAGCGATGTGAACTTCGAATAGTCCGCGGCTCTTCACCTCAAGAAAAAGGGGGGAAGGTATGCAAAGCTCCAAAATGGCAAGGTTTCTCTACGAAGACTTTCTGCTATTTGAGGCCCTTGCCAGCAAGGCGTCTGTCTCTTTGAAGCTGCTGATGGCGACACTTGGTTTTGCTCCTGAAAAACCAAGAACTCGATGGTAGAAGTCCGTGTGGGTCCCCGGACCAAAATACTAACCTGCCCTATGGATGGATCATCCACCCAACGCCCACATCGCAACTTCTCCTTCTGCGCCACCGAAGCCAGTTCCTCACATCATGACCCTTCTCTGACCATCAACTCATACATCTAAGGAGCGCCGATCGTTTCCAAAATTACGAGTATGTCTTGTACATTGCAAGCTGTTGCTCCACCCACGCAGACATGTTCAACGTTGTTCCATCGCACTTGGAGTGAATCCGAGTGAAGCATCTCTTGGTGGCACAGTATGGTTCTTGTTTATACGTTCTTCTGGAAGCGGCGTTCTCTTGGTTGGTGCACACACATGGCGTATTGCAGCCTTCAGCACAGATTGAAGATGAAACCCTCACAATGGAACTCCTTTCGGAATCCCTGAGCATAACCTACAAGCTCCACTCATACCCTGCCCCCCACCATGCCACCTCGCGCAAAGCTTGCGCACGGCTTGCGCCAGGCTTGCGCACTCTGTCCGTCGTGTATGCTCTTGCGCCTTCGCCGTTGAGCGCGCGCTTGCGCGCCGCAGGGTTTTCGCTGCCCTGCCCCTACATACCAAAATAGTTTCTGGACACTTTCATCTACTGTCAAGCATCGGGGGTTTAGAACAACCTGTGAAATCATTGGCTTTGACCTGATTTTGCAGGTGGCGAACCTGCTACAGGATGTGATAAGATTGGCTCGGGTTCTTCTCTGTTAGTGAGGACTTGCGTGGCATTTTCCAAAGGCAAACTCTCGTTCTTCACGTCTTGGACGACTGGGAGTCGCCTTCCGCTGCAAAGGAAATCCTAGAGTCACCACCGACTCCCCCGTCCATCTTCGTGGATGTGTCGGGCGACGTGAGTGGACCTCCCACATCCGACGCGTCGTGGCATGAGTGTGGTAACTCACGAGAGCACGAAATTTGTGATGTATGGAGTGACGTCTCCATGCTGAAAAACGGGCGATCGAAGGACATACCTGAAAGAACACAACCGAGCCTAATGTTACCTGCTCAAGCGTCTCAGACCAAAGAACTCATCTCCTGACGCCTGCAAAGGAAAACCAGCAGGTGCCATACCCGATCGATTATCACACAACAACTCCCGCTGCTGCTTGGAGTCCAGTGAGCACGTCATCCTTCACCTAAGCAGCAGAAGAGCAAACGCACCCAATGACATCCCGTGTACGCACACCAGCTCAGACAATGGAGTTCGATCAATTGGGCACAAGATCATACAAGCGGGACTCATGTTCTCATGTGCCAACTCCTTCACAGCCTCAGGCAAGCAGCTCCAATCAGCGTCGTGTCTGTGTGAGGTTTCAGAACCTCGGGCGTCAAAGCTGCAAACACGTCCAGTTAGCGGTGAGGAGAAGGATGGTGTGTTGTTCGAGGCTCATCAAGGCTCCAGCTAACTCATCGGCCATCAACTTCTCAGAAGCCACGATGACTTGCAAAGTCTGCTTGTCGAAGGGATATGCCTGGGAGTCCATTCCCAGCAAGTCAAGCTGCACACGACCTTCGCTGAAAGATTCACGAAATTCTGCAGGAAGGTGGCAGACGTGTCAAAGTCGTTCGTCATGGTCACCAGCATCCGTTCGACCTGGTTTCACGCTGGTAGCTTGCCAAGCCACCCCTGGAGGCACTGTATGGCTACTGCAGGCAGGACAGCTTGAAGCCCACCTTCGTCGCCCAACCAGAGGACCAGATCTTCACACTAGATGAGATGACTTCAACATTCTTGAAATCACGATTGGTCACCTCAGAATTGCGATGAGTGTCGAGCAGCAGCGCGTGTGAAGCTCCGACTGATCTTAGTGCAGAACCCCAATGTCTGGCAGCCAGATGAGTTTCCTGCTTTTCAGCTTCACAAGCTGAGTATCTCAGCAGAAAAACGACTATCATACAGGTAACTAGCCAGCTTGCACATGCCGGGCCAAAACGTCACTCCAATGCATGTTGGCCTCTTCATACGGTACTGCCCGTTTGTTAGCCTTCAATTTGAACGACCGCCTCTTCACTTTTCATTGTGTCCCAAATACAGAACTCTCAAACTTGCCTGTCAACTTGCTTGCTGGCGTCCTTGCGTCGTCCGTCGAGTAGCGGGTATCCTCCTTGCCCAGCGGCAGCACCTAAACAAGCAATTCTGGGTTCAAGACATGCAACCAGCAACAGTAGACTCAGAAAAATCTAGAAAGCCACACGTCTGACAAATGTGAGAAGTCCGACCAGTCCGAGCCTGCGTCACCTCGGGGTCATTCCAGCTCACTGTCAGCACGATGTCTCCTCACCCGCAACAATCCGCAACAAGTTCTCAGTGCCTCGGTTTGAAAGCAAAATCAGGGCACCCTGATTCTCAGGCCGAATGTCCTGTCCATGTCTTCTTGATGACATCGACATCGAAGACACGCCTGTCAGAGACACAAAGGGAACCAATGCACCTGCCCTGTCAAGGCCTATGAAGTTCATTGGCTTGTGCGACTCTACGTTTGTCGCAGAGAAGGGGGAGTTGCCACAAAGCAGAAGTGGATGGAAAAAAAAGCGAAGGGGCCTCTAAAAGGAGGACCTCTCAAAGGGGAGGCCTTCGGCCCGGTGTGCTCTTTTCTGTGGGCGGGCAATGTCTCAAGCGGAGCACATTCGTCATGTTTCCGTGCATGTCCGTGCCTCTGCGAAGCGCGTGTCGTCGCGTGGCATTTAAATAGTCTTTCTGTCCGTTTGCTTCTGTTGCTCCTTCTTCTCCGTCTTCCGTCTTAGTTCTGCTAAGCTCTATGCAATGCAGAGCGGAAAATGCAGCATGAGCCGTGCACCTGCAGTAGACACCAAACCTCGGCAGACATGAAGAGAGAGAGAGAGAGAGATCAAAAAAAAACAAAGAGAGGGAGTAGCAAAGTTCCAGTGTGTTGAAACGGAGGCTGAATACCAGCCAAAGGCCACGGCATGACCTCGCGCGGCTTTGCGGCTTCAACTAGCGCGGCACCTGACACAAGGCGCTACCGCTCAAGAAGGCGTTGTACGTAGAGGGGACCATGCCATGAAACCTGTCGTGTTAGAAAAGCACATCCTGCACCAAATGACCGCTCAGCGCCTTGTCCTCGAGTGTCCTTGCATTGCAGCGGGTGGCACCACGCGGCTGCAATTTTTAGCCATTCTAGCCTGCCTTGGTGTGGACTCTTCCGGAAGCTTCGACCTGGGCCAAAGTTTCACTCGATCACATGAAGAATCAAACATGAGCTGACATCTGCTTTTTTGCCGCGCTTCCGCCTCCATCTCCATCATCTTGTCGGCCCTGACGACAACAGTCAAACAAAAGCACCCACTTGTCATGGCCTTGCTCACCAAATGGCCTGGCAGACAACGACTTGATATCGAAGTCCTGAGCAGGAGCATTTACAATGCTTCTCAGAATCCTAAACGAAGCACGAGGAAAATAACTTTGCGGTATTTCGTGGTCATCGTACGAACCCGACGCATGCTGAAAATTACTGAAACGCCCCAGGAGTCGTCTTTGCGCTCTGGTTGGCCATCTCCGCGGCGCACCAAGGAGCTTGCATCGGCATGCGTTTCTGCGACACACGTGTTGAAACAGGTCGCAACACGTCACCACAATGAAAGAGCAAGCTTCAAAAAGCTGTCGAAGTGTCGAAAGAACTCGCTAAGCAGCCTATGGCGGTCACTGGCACTGCCAGCAGCAGAAGTGCCCAGAGCTGCCACATCAAACCTGGGTGAACTGGGCAAGTTTGCGTACCAGCGTCGGCTTGCTTCGTGAGCGGGAATGTAGCACCGTGGCGTCGCAAAGTTGGCACTGTACAGAAGCAGCGCCGTGTGCAAACGAGAGGCCTTTATGGAAAGCTGGAGTCACCAGACCGTGAAGGGCAAGGTGGCCCAAACGGGCGCTGCCCCTGGCCTTGGCGAGCAAAGCTGGCGCACACTGAGAGCGCGCGAGCACACACACAGACAAAGATAAACACAGAGATTCTATGGATTCATACGGATTCATAAGCCTGCTCCTACCACGCTTTCGCCAAACCAGCCTGCACACTTGAGGTCATTCATGTGAACTCGCCACCGAGGCAAACGTGAGAACTTCGTGCTAACACTGAAAGCGCGTGTTTGCAACCTACAGGTAGCTGAGGCCAATAGCCACAAGTTGGATCAGGCCACCGGCATGTGCAGGAATATGCGCACTGTGAAAAGACAGGTCCGTGGTCGAACATCGTGCTCCCGACCGAAGCAGGAGCGCGCTTCTTGGGACCGCGGAATGCGTACGGTACATAGGTGAGAGTGCAAGTATCGCCGAGAAGCCCGACCCACGCAACCTCAACCTCGTCTTCCTCTTTCTTCGCTCATTAACACCCCATTCATGTTGCCTTCCACGCAGACAGAGATTGTTAAAGAAATCGAGTTCCACATTCTTGCCACTGCCAGTTAAGCCTTCTAATCTTCAAGTCTGCAGCCCAGGAACTGACATGCCACCACAATTTTGGGCAGGCTGGAGCAGAAATGATCACACGGAAGTCTCTCACCATCAACACAAACATGGCGGGTGGCAACTGGCAAGGCTTCCGCAAGTCTGCCTTTTTAATCGAGCACCACACGAAACCCGGTTCTGCATGTGAGACGCCCTCTTGATTGCTCCGGCTGAGCGATGGAACATGAACTCCTGGTACGATGCCATGCGGCTCTTTACGAAGACAACCCCAAACTTGCCGAAACTTGTTTGCTTAAACGATGTGAGGTGCGCTTGAACTATAGCTTGCTCAAGTCGGGAGCTCACACTCTGGGACCTTTGTGGCATATCGGAAGTCGACGGACATGCACAAAGGCCAGGCGGACGATCACTCTACGGAACAGATGCCCAGACTGAGAGGCTGAGGATGGACGGGACTCCCGGACATGGCAGATTGATGCAGATTGTGCCGAGATGCAATTCCAAGCCAGGGGTTCTCCTGGACGGCTGCAAGAACTGCTAGAGAGTGATGAATCGACTCAATTCTCGCCACTCCCGACCCCACTGCCCCTCCGGGCGTGCGTGCTCCGCAAATCACATGGGGGCCCCATTGCCTCTTCTTGAGCTTCCGATGCTTCCGCATCTTTTTCCGGCTCTGCTTCGGCCGATTGGAACGCGTCTCCTCGGGACAAGAGCAGTTTCTCGAAGCTCAACCAGAACTTGCGTGAACTTGCTTGTCCAAAGCACCCGCTCCGAGTGCGCCATGCGTGCCCCAGCTCGCAAGCTCGGGCATCAAACTCTCGGGCATCGGCCTCCTGCACAGATGACAAACGCGTGCTCGACTGGATTCAGATATCTGATGAGGCTGTTGCATTTTTTTCCATGTTGAGCCGCTGAGCTTTTGTTGAGCCGAGCGGCGTGGACGCAGCGTGCGCGGCAAGGAGGCGCTGTGCGGGGGGGATGTTGTCGAGGTTGGGGACGTTGGGGGTTGGATGGATCGTTGGATGTGTTGGATGTGTTGGATGTGTTGGATGTGCTGGATGGGGCCGGGGCCGCACCACAGCGCGCGGCACCAATGGATTCATGCCGGGGCCAGGGCTCACAACAGGGTTCAGGGGGACCATGGGCGTGACGGGGCGCATGGGCACCGTCAAGGGCATGGGAACTCGCCCTGGTGGAAGAGGTGGCCCTTGCAGTGCCACACCTCCGGCAGGCCTCAGTGGAAGGCCTGAGCAAGTGCTCGAGTAGGCCAAGCGATCTAGCAGTCGAGCGTGGCTGCAAAACATGTTTAAAATCTGAAAGCTCCCCTGGCCTGGGAAACTCTGCCTGGCAGCGCCACGCATTCTCTTGCGACTCTCTTGTGACTCTCTCGTTTCGGAGCGCACGTTCTTGCGATTGGCCGAGGTGCGGCGAAGGAACTCCAGGCCTTCCGCCCGTTGCCTTGGCACGAAGCAGAGGAAGGAGAGAGGGCGAGGGGTAAGGGCGTGTAAGAATATGTGCTGATATGTGCCATATATAAGGTCATGAAAGGAACTGCCAAGTATGCAAGGATATGTACAGGATATGCAAGGATGGTAAGGTATAATATCTTTGACAGATGTCACCGAGCTGGGACTACCAGAATTCTCAGGAAATTCCTGCAGACTATCCAACACAACTCCCGCCAACACACGAACAGCGGAACAGGTGAATAAGCATTTAAATGAGGAATGTAAATCAATGAGGATTCAAGCGAAAACATCCCATGACCGAGGTTGATACGAGGAAGCTTGATTCACTGAACTACTGTTCCAGTGGCGTCGTGCCTGTGCCTGTACGTTTCAATGTGGCTTGTACAATGCTGTACCACGCCTTGAGGCATTCGGAGGTGCCTTCCGGACACTTGCATACCTAAATATGCGTAGACTTAGAAGTCTACAAACGAGGCTTGTCAGGGTGAACATTGAGCATAGAATACAAAGTTTGCGATCGAGCAGCAGCCTTGTTGGGGGGGGGCAGGGCTGCGCATGAAACGCGTAATAGAATGAAAGGGGACATTGAAATGATTGCGGCAGAGCAGGACATGCAAGGTGGCTCATAACGGAGCTGCACGTCAACGAAGACAGGGTGCCACGTTTCGTCAAGATCTTGACAAGATGCTATCTCTGTTGGCCGGATCTTCTTGTCGTCCGTCTCCCATACCAGCTCCTGAGAGCTGTGCACGTCAGGTCTTGCCGCCAAGGTCGTGAGGGCACTCTCTCGTAGGCCCGTAGGCTTAAGGATGCTTGTAAGGTTGCAAGCCCCCACTGGGCATGACAAGATTCTGTAAGAAATTCAACAAGACCTGCAACTCACTGGCAGTGGCCAGCAGGTGCTGGTGGGTGCTCGAGCAATGCCAGTGCTGTTCCCGGCCTTCAGGCGCTGTCGCACCATCGCTTTGGCTTTTTCCTGCCAACGAAGCCATGACACGGTCCAAACGGTGTCCCCTGCACAACCCCTGCACAATCCTTAAGCCCAGCGGCCCTCTGATCTCCAATTATCTGGATTTTGTGCGGCCCATTCCCTTGAGCAGGAGGATTGACTCCGATGAAGAGGTTTCCACCGCAAGCTTCTCGGATAGTCTCGGTTCTTGCAGGCTCTTGCACATTGTAATACATTGTATCAGACTGCAGCTGCGAGTCTGCCTCTTTAAGGTGCCAGCCTTGACGTGCTCACCGCCCCTCCCGATAAAGAGCCCTGGAGGAAAAGGCAATCATCGTCGGTAGGACACGCATCATACGTGTGCGTTGAAGAGGACGTGTGAAGACTTGCGCTGCAGAGCTTGCGGCTTTTGCGAGCCTACCACGTCGGGTGGGACCACGAGATCCGTTTCGTCCGGCTGGTTGGCCTCATCCTCGGGGAGCGGGCAACCTGAGGCATCTGGGAATTTCCGCGTCCGACTCCTCACAACTGTGTTGCCATGAACTGTGCGTCCAGGCCTTTGGCCGCCAAAGTTTCTCGGATGAGAACTTCGGCTTTTTCGATATCCCCAACGATGGTGACTTCGCCTTGGCGCGTGTGATTCGAGCCCTTCTTTGCCTGTTCTTATCTGTTCTTGTCCATCCATCTGCACGGCATGGCAAGTGCGAGGCAGATGCCTTAGGATGCCCTAGGATGCCCCCATCACTACCGAAGAGCCTTCATCGGCAACACGGTCGTGATCCACCTTGATCTCTGCATTCGCCTTTTCGCCTGACATTACCACACTTTCATGCAATGGCTGCCTGCACATGTACGTTGCAACATGTTGCAACTGGCGGCAGACTCTGCAGTAGTCTCTCAACTAAGGCAATGGCAAATGCTCCTGATTGTCTCACCTCCTCTCCCAAGGAGGACTCTGATCTGCACAGCCTTCAACATCATGGTCTTGTTCCTGCACACAGAAGCTGAAGAGTTTCGATTGTCGCCCGATGGCATCACTGGAAGATCTTTGGGTGTAGACGCCTCAACTGATTAGGGTTGCGTGGGGGTCAGTGTGTTTCACAGAGTCAGCATGAGATTGTGTTTAGCAGCTCAAAGACATTGAGCCTCTGCCCAAGCAAGTTCGGGAGTTGTGCCCTGCAAGCATGATGGCACAGCTGTACACGACTGCTTTGTGTGCCGTCAACGTCTCCGCACCTGCTCGTTGTCGGGCCTGGAACCACAATCTGCCTCAGCGCGGAAACTCGGTGTGTACTATGTGAAGCTATGCCAAGCCTGGCAAAAGAGCTTTCGTTCACAAGAGTATTTAAGGCAGGAGCACAGAAAAGCAATGAGTAACCATTCGAGAGAAACACGGCATAGTATACCAAATCGAGCACTTTTTGCAGTCTGGACTCGGAATCGGTTTTCCTGAGATAGGGCCCTCCAAGTCCTGGCGGGGCATGCGACACTCAACCCTCTCCATCTAACATGCACATCTTGGGCAAAATGCTTGCATTCGGCTTCCTTCAGCCAGTCGGGTAGAGCCGTCTGAGTTGGAGGAGAACTGCCGTCTCCTTGCTTAGGCCATGACATGCGACAACTCCCATGAGAACTGAGTCGTATCCTGGTCATATCCGAGCCCCCTTCCCTTAAAAGGATGTCAATAAGCCGCTCCTCGATCGTCCCATTTGCTCCGTCGCGGTGGGCGGGTCTCCTCCGGTCTTCATGTGGACTCTGCTGCAGAATACACTTTGTGCGGCATACCCGCTCGGTTAAGGGCTGCATACAATTACGCCACCTTGACAACTGACTTGGGCGCGTGGCCTCCCTCGGCTTCTCCGGCACTGGCTCAGAGCCTCGCACCTCCTCACTCTGACGACGCCGAGGAAGCGCTTCCCTGGCACGTCTAAGAATTCAGAATACACTTCTTCCTTGTCGCCTTGGAAGAAGAAGACATGAAGACCATCCAAGATATCCAACAACACCGGGGTGCCCACTGCATCTTCAGTTCCCAAAGCGTGTGGACATCTTGCGGCTGCCGGGCCTACTTGTTGTCTGCTTTCCATGACGGCCGAAGGATCGAGAACCTGACCTTGGGGCCGTTGGCTCGAAGAAGCAAAACAGGAAGATTGCTCTGCCACTGCGATATGGAATTGTTGCTTCTTTTGCTTGTCTGTTTTGGTCTCAGGGTCGCAAGTCCGTAGAGCTGCTCCGCGCGGCTCAATTGCCTTCCCCACCTGCCCTACCTGCGGCCTATAAATGTCTGCAGCACGGCTCTGTAGAAACATGCCGTATCAACCGTATCATGGCCTTTGTCATGCTTGCGTGATACCTGTGTAGTTAATACTTATAGTTACTTATAGCTCATGTAGCACAGGTGCTTTTGTGCAAATCTCAGGCTGCTGCCGCTGAGGCTGTCGGTCTCTGGACTCAGCAATGGGCAAGGTGCGAAGATGCGCCAAAGAAGGCCGCCGAGGGCAGTCCCACGAAGTTCAATGAAAACAATCCAGTTGAATTCGAGGATCTCTACATAATTCTACATATCTCTACTTAATTATCTCAGGTTTTTCTAGCACATCCTGAGGTTGCTGCACGACGCCGTTCGCGTTCGCGGCCACGGTCTCCACGGTCTCCGCGGTCGCCGCGGTCGCCACGGTCGCCGCGGTCTCCACGGTCGCCACGGTCGCCACGGTCGCCACGGTCGCCGCGGTCACCGTGGTCGCCACGGTTGCCGCGGTCACCGCGGTCGCCGCGGTCACCGCGGTCGCCACGGTCACTTTCGGCGCGTGTACCACGGCGCAGCAGCCTGCAGGGAGAGAAGGTTGGAGGACACGGAAGTGAGCACGCTAGAGAATCTAGTATGACACCTGTACACACACACACTTACACACACACACACACACACACACACTTACACATACACACTTACACACACACATACACACAGACACACACACACACACACACACACACACACACACACACACACACACACGATAAAGCACACAATCTGCGCTTCTGCCAGGTCCCCCGACGACCGGCTGCGCGGTCGGCGCGGCTGCAGCTTCAGCGGGCTCCGTGTGCGGCTGCGCCGCCGCATCGCCGCATCCCCCGCAGCAGGGATCCGCAGGGGCTGTGCCGGCCAAAGGCTCTAAAGGCTGAAATCTCCAGCTGCCGAGCGTCCACTACGATTGAGATGACATGGAGATGGCTGCAATACGGCACTTAGCATTACTTGGTGGAGTGTCTTCGAAGGCTGCGGGAAACTTCTTGCGAAAAGAAAGAGTCATGGGACAGCTGCCCATGGTGTTGCCCGCTTGTTTGTGTCGAGTCGGGTTGGCTTCAGGAAACTTGTACGAGTCGTACGTTGTCGCTTGTCATAGTATGCGTGCTACGTCTGCCAAGCAATGTCAGCCTGAAGTAAGGCTACAGGAAGCTCTACTGTTCCGCAGCCAAGCTAAGCTAGTGCTATGGGAGCGTAAGCGTAAGATAGCGTAAGCCAGGCGAAGGTGCCGTGATCGGCTGGAGCCAAGAAAGGCCAGCGGGCACAAATCGGCTAATGCACAAATTTGCGTTGTTGACTCTTGACTTTAAAGGCATGGCAGTGGCGGTGACTCTTTGCTGGTCCAGCTTGTGGACGCCTTCCAAACTTATCATCGGCGGTGTTCGCCGATTTCTTGCCGTCCTGCAATGTGGCGCTTCATAACTTAGCATGCTTAGCTTGGCTTCAATGATGCGGCAAGGCATGTTTCATGCAAGATCACCTCAGACTCAACTAAGACTATGACCGTCGAATTCGTGAGATCGAAATCTTGGAACTCGATTCCAGCCATCGTGTGCGAGGCCTGCAAGTTCCACACTCACCCTAGGATGATCCTTGCAATACATTGCAATAGTACCCACGAAATGCCAGTAAGAATGGATGCCTGTGCGACATCTGGGCCGCTCACGGGCCACGCCTGGTCAGCTCATTTGGAGGACACCGATGACATACGCATATGCTACTGTTTTGGCTTGTCCGGCTCTCCCAGTGCCTTGCCACTGGTCTTCGGGTGGTAACACCTGTGGCGCGGAGCCTTGCCACAGGACAGACATGCGCACGTAGGCACACTCATGCACACGCACTGGAATCGGCGAAACACTAAGGCTCCAGCTGCAGGTCGGAGTCCAAGTCGTCCAAAGCAATCCGCTCGTCTTGGACCTTGACTCCAAGATCCGACGCGCTGCGAAAGTTCTCAAGAGTTCTCATATGCATACAGCAAACATTTTTCATCAGCTCACGCCACATGGCCCAGACCGATGCCAGCAGCCGTGAATCAGGATCAACGTCAGCGGATTCATCTCCAACATCAAAGGGGCGACATGTTTCTGTGAGTATAGCCATGCAGCAGCTCATGCCAGCGTGGATGATTGCAGTGGCAAGCTATGTGACATGACGACGCTGGGCTCTTAGTGTATGGGACTCCCAATTCCAAGCTGTGCCTGGTGCACTGCTCCTCTTGGCCTGGACGGCAAGAAGTGTTCGGGACATGGCTGAGTCTGGCCGTCACTAGACCGGGCGATCTACACCAATGATGCCGATATTGTATATCTGGAAAGATATATGTGCATATATATATATATATATATACATACATAAATATATATATATACATATATATATATATACATATATATATATATACATATATATATATATATGCATGTATATATATATACATATATATATATATATATATATGCATATATATATATACATATATATATATATACATATATATATACATATATTTACATATATTTATACATATATATATATATACATAGATATATACATATATATATATATGGATACACCAGTTTGTATACATATACATACATATATATGTATATCTATATATATATATATATATATATGCTACCCCCCCCCCCCCCCCACCGTAAGCACAGTGTAAGGGGGCGGGGTGTTTTCCCGAAGGCTGCGACATAATAAGTGCCATATCTGGCGGGCCACCCCTTTATTCTGATGGGTAAGGGCAGTGTGGGGAGGTGGAGGTTGGACCCTCCCCGCCGGGTCGCACGCAGCAGAATTCACCAAGCTTTCATCCTAAATAATTTGAACACCAAGATAAGCCGTTTGTACGCGAAGTTGTTCTAGTAGCTGACAAACAAGCCCTTGGCTGAAACCTTCCAGAGTTCCACTAAACATTAAAGAGCTTCCCTATGTTTATTCGTTTAAAGTTTAGATATACAGACCCTAAAGGTTTAGGCTTAAACCTATTCCAAAGCCTTAAAGTTTCCCTCGCCACTAGAGAGAATTTCACTTAACCCTATTCGTTGACGGTTTAGGCTGACAGCCTGTTCCAAAACTTTAGATTTTCCCTCGCTACTAAAGTTCCGCTAACGCCCAGACCCTATTCCCACTATATCAACGCATATTGTTTACGAGTAGCATAGCCTATTTCTTCAAGGTTTAGACTGGCACCTGGTCCAAAATCTGTTGTTTTCTCTCGTCATTGAAGGCATTTCGCAAATGCCCAGACCCTATTCCCTAAAGACATTCTAATAAAACCCAGACCCTATTCCCATACTTTCAACGAAAACTGTTTAGGAATATTCGTGCTTCCTATTCCTGAAAACCCTAAAATTTATTGAAGATTTAGGCTGAAACCTAGTCCAGAACCTTCGGCTTCCCTCGCCACTGAGGGCATCTCGCTAAAGCACAGACCCTTGTCCCTCAGCTATAAAGCGCAGACCCTTGTTCCCACCCTAACTCTTAAAGGTGTAGGCTGAAGCCCAGTCCAAAGCCTTATGTTTCCCCGAGTCACTAGATGCACTTCACTAAAGACCATATTCCCTAAACAAATTTTACTAAAGCCCAGACCCTATATTCCCATACTTTCAACGGAAATTGTTTAGGAATGCTCAGCCTTCCTATTCCTGTAAAACATTTCCCTCGC